CCTTGGTACATATGCATGTGCATGGGGATGTGGATGGGGATGCGCATGGGGATGTGCATGGGGATGCGCATGTGGACGTGCATGGGGATGAGAAGCAACGTGAGGCATTGGAGGAGGATAATGCGGATGCCAATGCTCGTAATACCCATACGCGGGAGGCATGGGTGGGGGAAATTGATGATGCGCGTGATGGGGATATGCGCTAGGATGCATGGGAGGGGAACCGGGGGCAACATGCATCATACCACCAGCGCCAAAACCACCAGCACCAGCAGCAGCACCACTAGCAAGACCAGCAGCAGCAGCGCCACCGCCACCAGCAGCACCAGCACCAGCAGCACCAGCAGCACCAGCAGCACCAGCACCACTAGCAACACCACCAGCAGCAGCTGCTGCTGCCACTGCTGCTGCAGACGCAGCAACCGCAGCAGGAGAATCATACGGCATATGAGATGGTGGGGGCATGGGAGTACCACCATGGGGTATCATGTGTGGGTAATGTGGATGGAAAGGGTATTGTGGGGAAACCATGTGCGGCGGCGGGTATGGGGGGTAGTATCCATATGGGGGCATGTAGGGGTATGGTGGGTAGGCTGATGGGTGGGATGGGTGGGGAGCGGTGGGCGGGTAACCTGGGGAAGAACCTGGCCAATAGGAAACGCCCAATGCAGCCGCGGGAGCGCTGTTAGTGGGAGGTGACGTGGCAGGGCCTGACTGGTTACGAGCGGCTCCTGAAATTGAGGGGGAGCCTGCAGGCGTCACAGCAGGTGCAGTGGTGGCAGGAGCAGTAGCAGAAGCAACAGTACCAGCAGCACCAGCAGTAGCAGCAGCAGTGGTTGCAACACCAGCAGCAGCAGGAGCAGCAGCAGCGGCAGCAGCGGTAGCAGTGGGAGCGGAAGGAGGGTAGCCCACAGTAACCGAGGGGAGTGGGGGGCCGTATGGCATCAGGGGACTCCCAGGAGGGAGATAGGGTGGATAAGGCAGGCTGTGAGGGCTTGCTGGGGGGAGTGCCCTGAGTGCAGAGACAGAAACGTGGGGGTTGGGATCTGAGGACTTTTGAGCAGCGAGTCTGGGACCAGGGGCTCGTGTGGCAGTCGCAGCAGTAACAGCAGCAGCGGCGGGAGCAGCGGCAGCAGTGGGCGCAGCGGGAGCAGTGGGAGCAGTGGCAGCAGTGGGCGCAGCGGGAGCAGAGGGAGAAGTGGCAGATGTGGGAGCAGGAGCAGGAACCGCACCAGGGACAGGAGCAATTGTGGAAGCATGAGGGGCGGCAGGCGGAGCAGCAGGGGAAGGGGCAGCAGTACTAACAGCAGCAGAGAGTGCGGAGTTAGGAGCAGCAGCAGCAGCACCAGTAGCAGCAGCAGCACCAGTGGCAGCAGGAGCCACAGCAGCAGCAGGAACAACAGCAGCGGCAGCAGAAGCAGCAGCCCTAGTAGCAGTAGCAGCAGCAGCAGGCGTTTCAATGGGTGCACGGACAGAGGCATCACTGTTCACCCTTCCACTGGCAAGGGCAGAAGGCGCAGGTTGGGGTGGTAACCGTGTTACAGGCAGTGATGGCGGCTGTGAAACTCCTGCTGTGGAGTGAGGCTGACCCCCTGTTGCCTTTTGACTTGTCACACGTGGAGCTGCTGCTCCTGCAGCCCCTGCTGCTGCCCCTGCTGCTGCCCCTGCTGTTGATGCTGCTGGTGCAACTCTTCCTGCTGTAGCAGCTGTAGTCGCTACATCATTTAGAGCACTTGACGGACTTGTTCGGGATTCTACTCCAGCAGTCATACCTCCAGCAGAGGCTGTTCCTCCCCTCCTTCCGCTGCCCTCCTTAGGTAAAACGGCACTCGCTGCTGCACTTGCTGCTGCAACTGCTGCTCCACCTGCTACCGCACCTGTTGTTGCTCCAATGGTACGCGCAACGTCTGTAGCTCTTGTCATGGCACCAACAGCATCTGTAGCAGCCACAGGAGGAGGTGACACTTTGACTGAAGTGGCATTGCGAGTGGTTGCAGTTGCAGCAGCAGCACCAGCTGTGGCAGCAGCTGCAGCACCAGCTGTAGCAGCACCTGTAGCAGCACCTGTAGTAGCACCTGTAGTAGCAACCGCAGGCAAAGCTGAAGCTGTAGCAGCAGGGGACGCCAGAGGAGAAGGAAGAGCAGCAGCAGTAGCAGCGGGAATTGATGAGAAAGCGTCACGTGTAGCGGTCACTACACCTGAGGCTAGTCCATCCAAACCAGGGGTTCCAGGAGGATCGGATGCACGTCCCTGGGCAGGCTCGGAGCCCAGAACAGGTTCGGAGCAAGGTCTGGTAGCATTACCACCAGCAGAAGCAGCAATCGTACGAGCAGGAGGAGGAGCAGAGGCAGAGGCAGAAGCAGAAGAAGCGGCAGGAGCACAAGCAGGAGTAGCAGAAGCAGCAGGAGTAGAAGCAGCAGGAGGAACAGCAGGAGCAGCAGCAGCAATAGAAGCAGCAGGAAGAACAGCAGGAGAGGCAGGAGCAGCAGGAGCAGCAGGAGCAGCAAGAGCAGGAGGAGGAGCGGGAGTAGCAGGGGGAACGGCAGGAGAAGCAGGAAGGACAGGAGCATCAGGAATAGCAGGAGGAGCATCTGGTGGTAACCAGAAGCCAGCCGCGGCTGCATCTGAGCCGTCGATAAAACCACCCGGATGCCAGAAGTATTCTGCAAAACCCTCCCCTTCAAAGCTCTCCTCAGGACCAACTGACCCGTCAACTGTGCCTGATTGCGCGTGCTTCTGAGTCAACTCAAAAGCTGGTCCTAGAGAAGTATTAGCTGTGGGTGAATGAGTGTGGCATAGAGATAGGTCTTGAGTGGGTGAGTGATGCGACGGGGGGAGGGGAGGTGGAGAAGGGTGGTGGTGGAGAGAAGGGGGAGGAGGAGAAGGGTGGTGGTGGAGAGAAGAGGGAGGAGGAGAAGGGTGGTGATAAGGAGGGAGGGGAGGAGGAGGAGAAGGGTGGTGATAAGGAGGGAGGGGAGGAGGAGGAGAAGGATGCTGCTGTTGCTGCTGTTGGTGTTGGCTGTGATGACGCTGCTGATAAGCAGGGGGACCAGTATGGGTATCAGAAGGAGCAGCAGCGTCAGCAGAGGCTGCAGACAAGCGTGAAAGCCTGCCTTGACCGTGAACCTGTCTCCCATGCACGTTCCCAGAGAAAGATCCATGGATGTCAGCGGCATTATGCCCCTGAATGTCAGCGGCATTATGCCCATGCATGTGAGTGGCATGATGGACAGGCATGTGAGTGCCGTGATGCCAAGGCATGTCAGGACAAAACAGGCTGTCTGCTTCCGAACCACCTCCTGCAAACGTCTCATCGTAAGACATTTCTGCGCTGCCCGAAAATTGCGGGCGGGCCGATGGAAGAAAACCTCTCGGTGCTGCTACCATACTCCTTTTAGAACCCGGCCCTGGAACAGCAGCAGCACCAGCAGCACTGCCACCGGCAGCACCAGCATTAGCAGCAGCAGCAGCAGCAGGGGATTCAGCCTGAAAAGGCATCTTCTGAGAATGCCCTCCCTCGGGTAGCTGTGTTCCGGGAAATAGCCCCTCACCTGCCTGCATGGCATGACCTTGACTTGGCAACGCATAGATGGATCCCCCATCACCCATATGCACGCCCATGCTCATTTCAAACCCAATGTTCGGATCCATACCCCTTCCCATACCCATACCCATACCCATGCCCGTACCCATACCCATATCCATACTCCTCCCCGGTCCCATCCCACTCCCCCTTTGCAATCCCATGCTCATGCCACCCCCATACAAAGCCGCGGCAGCAGCAGGAGGAGCCGAAACTAGGCCTGCGCTTTCATCTCTCTTCCTCTTCAAACCCACTTCTCCCTCTTTGCTCCTGCCAGGCGCCGTGTCCTGCCCCTCCCCACCTCCTCCCCCACCTCCTGCTGCTACTGCTGCTGCTACTGCTGCTGCCCCTGCTGATGCTGCTGCTCCTCCTACTCCTGACTTAGGCGCTGCTGCTTCTCCCACTCCTGCCTCTCGTGTTCCTCGTGCTACAGCCGGCCTGGCCTCAGACCCTGCTTGCCCTCCACTTGCTCCAGCCCCACCACCCACCCCAGCTGTAGCAGCAGTGTCTGTAGCCCCAACAGGAACAGCAGCTGTAGCAGCAGTGTATGCAGCCCCAACAGGAACGGCAGCTGTAGCAGCAGCTACTGAGCGGAAAACGGGACTCCGCCTGCTGCTACTGCTGCTATGGGTCAGGTAGTGTGGGACAGGAGGGTGAGGGGAACCACCAGGTGACTTTTGAGTCGACTGAAAGGCCACCTTGCTGCTGCTGCTATGGGTCAGGTAGTGTGGGACAGGAGGGCAAGGGGAACGACCAAACCCTGCTGCAGACCCGCTATAAGCCACTAATCCTGCTCCAGACCCGTTATAAGCCACACCAGACCCTGCCACAGGCGTATTTTGAAAACTCTCAAAACCTGCTCCTGCTGTTACTCCGTCTCCCATCCCTCCACCTTTTCCTTGCATCCAATCCATACCATCACCACCAAATCCAGATTCGATTTCTTCCAGCCACTTGTGCCGCCCCTCCTCTGATGGATCATCATATAGACCTCTTAAAGCCACCTCCACTGCCTTTCCATTCCCATTACCACCACCTCCTCCGCTCCCCTCTCTCGCTCTTTTCAGCTCCCCGTCTCCTCTCACCCCCTCCTGGTTTCCACCGCTCTGCACCTCTCCATTCTCCTCCCTCTCCTCTCTCCTCCCCTCTGCTTCCATCCCCCTTCCCTCCTCTCCCCCCTCCTCCTCCTCTTCTTCTAACATCCTCCGTTGGGTCTGAATCGTCCGAACCATCTCCGTTATAATCACACTCAGTGTAAGCACGCCCACCTGCTTCTTCCCTTCCCCCGCCCCATCCCCCCCTCCTGCTCCGTCGCCCATGCCTCTCCTACCCCCCTTCCCCTTCTTCCTCCGCTTCCTCCCCCCACCCTTTCCGCCCTTCTCCCCGCTCCTCTTCCCCCGACTCGCTCCCCCCTCCACTATAACGGGTTCCAGATACCCCCGGTGACGTGGTGGGAAGGGCTGCTGAGCTGGCGGGATGAGGTGGCGGTGGTGGGCGCAGAGGACGGGGGAGAAGGCGGAAAAGGCAGGGCGCCCACAGGGCAGGTGCGCCCCGTTATTAGAGCCCCTGGGGGAACAGCAGAGGGAGGGGGAGAATGGGGGGGGAGAGGAAGGGGGGGATGTGGGATGGTGTAAGCAGGTGTGGACGGGGGAAAGGAAGGCGGGGGGGCCGCAGGGCAGGTGCGCCCCGCTATTGGAGCCCCTGGGGAAACGGCAGAGGGCGGAGGGGCATGGGGGGAAAGGTGAGGGGAAGAGCGGGATGGGATCATTAAAAGGGGTGGGGAATGGTTGGGATGGTGTAAGCAGGTGTGGCTGGAAAAGCACCAATAAGCTGTGATTCAAACAGAAGACGGCGAGGGCATGGGTGTTGGAGGGGGAGAAGGGGGAGCGGGAGAAAGGGGAGGGGGAGAAAGGGCAGGGGAAGAAAGGGGAATGCGGGATTGTACCAGCAAACGATGTAGGTGCAGGGCTTGTACAGCCTCTGGCGCGGCTCTAAAAGAATGTGATTCAAACAGAAGACGGATAACGCCAGGGGTTTCGCCAGGCATGGCCCAGGCGCCGCGCAGTGCAACGTGGCATTCGCTGGTTTGTCAGGCGCGTGCGGCTCCGGCCTTGCTGCTCCGCCCAGCCCCGCTACCCCGATCCCCCCTGCTGCTCCGCCCTCCCCATCTGATCCGCGGTCCCCCCCTGCTCCGCTACCCTCTACCCCGCTTCCCCCAGCTGCTGCCCTAAGACTCGTGTCTCTCGGGAAAGGAGGGGCAAGGGGGGGCGGCGGGGGCGGAAGAAGCGCGTGGGGGCGCGAAGCAGGCGGAAAGGGGAAGTCGCTGCCCTCTCCCGGTCCGCCTGTTCCGCCTGTGGCGGAAGGATGCGCGCCTGCTGCGGGCGCGGGCTCTTTCCATCCGCTCTCCCCCGTGCGCATGCAGAATCGGCGGTACTTGGCGCGCAGCTCCTCCAGCAGCGCCCAGTACTGCCCGCGGTACACCGCCATGAGCCTGTAGCGGAGCGGCGTATAACGAAATTGGACGGATAAGAGAAAAAAAGAATTCAGGTTTTGGGACAATTTACCACAGTACACGTCGACCCCCAAGGCTGCTGCATACAGTTTAAAGCGAATTCAGCCTCAGAACCAATATTAGGGTTTGATACTACATGCGAGTCCTCTGAAGTCCAATGCACGTAACTCACGCCACGACGCCAGAATTCATCAGCAATGACGAGGTGTGCCCCGTGAGTAAAGAGTAATTGAGTAATTAGGGTTACGCGGGAAATAAGGAACTGACTTTCTAAGGCGGTTTAGCCGGCGCTGAACCACCTCCTCCGCCGCAACTACCGGCAGATTGCGCAAACACTCCTCGAGATCCATGGGCTCCATATCCAGCGATCCGTCCTCTCCCTCTTCGTCAGAATGGCCTCCCTCATCCCGCTCCGCTTCCTCGCCGGGACCGCCCTTTTCAACGGCTCTAAAAGTCATACCGCGATGAGTTGGTGCCGCGGCAAACAAAGGCTCGGGTTTGATCGTTGTTTTAGTGTCCATTTTACGCAGCTGAATCCGTCAGAATGGCTGAGTCTTTTAGATCTATGATCAGCAAACCTCGGGATCGTGCTCGCGTAGTATGGAAATTGACTCGCGTACGCGCTTTAGACGCAAATGCCTCAGGTTTGATGGCCCAGTTTCTATTGTACTGAACTGAAGATTTAATTATGTTATTGCAATGAAAATTGGCGACCAACTTTCTTTTCTGACACCACGATCTATCAGGGCCTTTTTTCCAGGTTCCGCTGGATGTTTTGCTGTACGTACAGTGGCCGCGATACAGCAAAACCATCAGGCTGGCAATTCTTGTCGAGTTCGAATCCTCGAAACTTTTCATTCAACTGCTTGTTTGTCAATATGTGTTCTGGGAATACACAGAAAAAAATGCAAAATGCATAGTGGTTCCACTCATTTGGCCGACGTGTACATTCCAGCCTTGGTAATCTCGGATTTGCAGTGATGCAGTTGCGTGAACGAATTTTTATGGTTGCAAAATATTTTTCGGAACGCGTCTAGCCCAGGTTCAAACCAACGAGAGCTTTCGTGATTGGTGTGATTTCTGCGATAACGACGCGAGGATACATTATCAGGATCTACGGAGGTGCGGCGAAAGAATCCAATCAAGTCACTCAAATGTTATTTCTTTTTGGAATCTCTAAAATCCTCATTCCCAAATCGAACGAGAGGGTGGGGGGAGTTAAAAACTTGGGAGATTCAATGAGAGAGAACGGGCTCTTGATGCTCCATTCCACACTTCGAATCTGCGATTCTGTTCAGTTTATAAGCGTACTTTGAAAAGAAAGTCATTTTACAGGATGGTGTTATGAGGATCCCTACCTAACATACTTCCTTGCTTGTGCACCTCACCCTTCCTGACAGCGTTGGTCCTTGTGGCTTCGAGGCGCGCTGATGCCGATACAGCCAAAAACACTTTGATTTCCTGCCAAGCGGTAGGCCCAGTTGCACAGTGCATTCATTTCGAATCGCCAACACGGACGATCAACGCCAGGAAGGAAGATTTCCACCTGACCGCCCGAAATTATTTCAAGTGCCACCAAAGTTGCCCTGCCATGCTGCTCCAAGGTTCTGGCGTCACTCACCAATAAAATCGCAGCACCGCCAACGCAGCCGCCAGCGTCGTGCCGACCACACCGCCTTGCCTGCCATCAGCCTCTCACGGGGAGAAAATCTATGGCTTGTGGCAACTCCAAGGACCCCCTTTGTGGCTTCAAGAAGCCGCACCAACCCATTTTCCTGCCACGTGTTTTGCACATCGTGATTATCAGCCGTCGATCTGCACGTGGGTTTAGTGATTCTGCGGTGGTTTTGGGCTCTGCTCCCAATCGGATTCCGTCCTCTCTAGAAGCTGGCGAGAGAGCAAACCCTCGCCAATCGTCAGTGCCGCGCCTGTTCGCCCGCTTCTGTTCCCAGATTTTCCCGCCTTGCTTTTTGCAGAAAGCAATTTCTTCACCTCCGATTCCTCATTTACTCATCTCCTCATTCCTCCAAACCAACTCCACTTACCTCACTTCTGTCTCAGCTTTCTCCAGTTTCCCTCAGGCGAAAGGCAATTCCTTGTTCCAGGAGCTCAGTAATTGTGTAATGTCTCTAGCTTCTCTCCTATCAACGCAAGCTCCTTTGTGTTTTACAATCCACGCTTAGGCATTTAGGCAGTTTGAGTTAGCAATATACGGGAAGATGAGTTCCATGATGTTGCGGAATCCGGTGAAGATGCGAGGTGTGGAGGTTTACAAGGATGGGTGGCTTGCTCGCATTCAGATTCGCGGTACCCGCTGCCGCTTTGGCATGTTCGCGAACCAGCAAGAGGCGGCACGAGTGTACGATAGGTGCGTGACGGCTCCTGGCACTACTACGCGTTGTGTCTCAACTGAGTCTCATTAGCCACTTATGTTTCTAACATTTTGCTGAAGGCCTTTCCTTCGCACCTTTGCTGGGTTTTATTGACTAGCGATTACTGTAGTCTCTGATTGATTGAGTGTTGACTCTGCATTGTCGTAGTTACCAGATTAGCGTCCATGTTCACATTGTTGTTTCCGACTGTTCAATGTTTAACGCGTTCCTTCCTCTCTCCCTCTTTTCTCTTCCCCTCCATTTCGTTTCTCTCACTCAGGCTGTCGTACAAGCTTCACGGAGCGAGAGCCGTCACAAACAGCTCGATTGACGAGGACACGAAAGCCGAGATCGAATCCTCCTCCCTCGAATCAATGCTAGCCATCGTCCCCGCCATAGATCCGCATCCACTCTACGAATCTGCGTGGCAGGCAGAGGGTGGCGAAGAGGAGGAGGAGGCGGCGGAGCAATCCATGAGCTACGACAGCGAAACGACCGCTCCCTCGCCCGATAGGATCAGATCCGACAGAATCAGATCCGATAGGATCAATGCTGCTGACGCCGCCCTTCCGGAGTTGCTAGTGGAGGCCGAGAGCCGTAGGCGTGTAAGCAGCAGTAGCGAGCCGTGGGCGTCGCCGTGTTCTCAGGGATCTGGGAGGATCTCGCGGTCCGAGGATTCCTCCTGCGCGTGCTGCGATACAAGGGAATGCACTAACGCGTACAAGAGCGGATCTCACCAAGATCCCGCGGCTTGCGAGTGGGATCGTCCTTCTAGGAGATACCACGGTGCGGCCTCGTCCAACTCGGGGAGTGTACTCGGTATAACCGGCTCCGATTCGGGCAGCGACGAGGTTAACTGGAGCAGCGGCAGCGTGAAAAGGTCCGGCGACGGGGACTGCAACGATGGCGGTGATGGTGATGGCGATGGCGATGGCGAGTGCCCCGGGATGTTGGTGTTCACCGTGCGGAAGAAGCGGCGGATGCGATCTCGACCGCACACGTGGAGCAACGCCTCTCCGATCAACGGCTCTCCGATTAAGGCGTCTCCCAGCAATGGTGAGTCTCGAATCTCTGGATCCGCGTCGCCATGTTCTCGTGACAGCATGTCAGGGCGATATTTAATCATACGCATGTACTGTCGTGAATGCATCGGTTCTGCGAGTCGCCAATGCACACTCTGAGGGTTTCCGTTCTCCAACGCTTACTATTTTAAACTCTTCTTTCGCAGGTTCGGAACGGATGGGGGGGACCATATCTCACGAGACAGTTCGGACCGGGACAGAGATTTTGCGTGGGGCAGAGATTTGGAGTGAGGCGAGGGCGGAGCTTCCGAGGCAGGTGAAGGCGGAGCCATCAGCGTCGGCGGCTATGGATTACGAACGCGACACGCACGAGCGCTGCGACGGCGATTCAGGTAAGAGAAACGATTCGACGTTTTTCGGGGTTTGTGATTACATCGCAGGGGTTTGGAGGTGCTTCCACTAGGGTTTTGCAGATCCAAGGGGTTTTCAGTGGTGCAATTGGCTGAGGGATCGGTTTTGTTTGTTGTGCAGGCCCATTGCTCTGTTCCGAGGACCTCCACGCGCGAAGCAGGGTGACGACTGGCGCTGCTGCGCCGGCCACCGCTGGCGATACGCGCATAACCGCCGATGCGCCCGCCACTCCCGATGCGCCCACGGCCTCTAGGCGGAGAGCCAGAGCGCGAGGCAGGGAAGGCAACGGCAGCACCGGCGGCGGCAGGATCCGAAGCAGCGCCGGCAGTCGCAGCAGCGGTGGCAGTCGCAGCAGCGGTGGCAGCCGGAGCAGTGGGGGCGGCAGGAGCAGGGGCGCGGTGACGACGGTGCGAGTGGAGTTCGATCCCGCGTATTGCTGGAAGATCAGAGCGGAGCCCTCGTTCCCTGCGCGGCCGCGAGTCGCGGAAAGCACGCCTGCCGCTGGTGAGTGACAGGGTTTTGGGCAAGGGTTCGAGAATGATTCGTTATGGAGGGATTCGACGAGGGTTTTCGGGCTTTGGCGTAAGTTCTGTATGGAGGGAATTGCCGAAGAGAAGCACGGGTTTTGGACGATGCGCTTTGAAACATAAAAGGGTCAAGAGGGGATGATGTGCTAGAATGAAAGGGTTTAGGATGGAGGGTGGGAAAAAAATGTTTAAGGTCGAACCTGGTGTTTTTTTTCGCGAATGAATAGCTACAAGTCGAAGCGTACAGCTTTTAGCATTCACTGCCGTTTTCCTACGCGTTTCTCACCCCCTCACGGCTCCTCCCTGCTTCTCCCTTCCCCCATGCTCTCCCCTTGCCAGACCTCCAAGGCTCCAGCATCAGCGCAACTGTAGAAGTGGCCGTGGCTCTCTCCAGTTGTACTCGTTTTGAGCCGCCTCGTTACACGCCTGGCAGCAGCACCGCTGTAGCAGTGAGAGATATCGAGGCGGTGAACCGCGGCAGCACTGCTGTAGAGGTGCCTGTAGCTCTCTCCGGATCCAGCCGTCCCCAGATAAGCGTGCTTTCCCGGTGCAACAGCAGCAGCAGCAGCATCCCAGTTAGTGTAGCAGGGACCGGCGGTATTAGCGGGAGTGAGGGAGCTTGTGCAGCTGCCGCAGCAGCAGCAGAAGCAGAAGCGGGAGCAGGAATGGCAGTAGTGGCAGCAGCGGCAGCGGCAGCGGCAGCAGCAGGAAATAGCAGTAACAGCAGCAACACCAACACCCCAGAGAAAAAGCCGGTGCTGCCATTTTCCTGGGCTTTATCTGTCAACGTGTCTGGCTGTGCCGGCTACACCCCGTTCTCGCTACCACCCATGGTCCAATCAAGCCCTGCCACGTCGCCCTCCACGTCACCAGTTCGCCCAGGGTCAAAGGAGCCGTTCTCGCATGCTGACGTGGATGGTACCATGGGGGGAGGGTGGATGGGAAGCAGGGAAAGCATGGCGAGCGTGGGGATGGATGGGGGTGAGGGGAAGGCGGACAGCAGCATTTATGTGGCGGCACAATGGCTTGTGGATATGGCTGCAGGGAGGAGTGCTGCTGTGTGCTGATCCCTCATGCGGGCCTGGAATTGTGTGTGCTGGGGTGTGCATAGTTTGAAGGGGTTTGCTTTTCAGGAGTGTGCTCAGTGTATTGGGCTGTGCTTGTTTAAGGGTTTGGGGTTCAGGGTTTGACTTAGCGGCGCTGGGGCTTGCTGCTGGTGTGGAAGGGCGTACAGAAGGGCTTCATGCGGAGGCGATTTGCAAGGGAGGTGCTGCCAGTGCTGGTGGTGCTGCCAGTGCTGGTGGTGCTGCCAGTGCTGGTGGTGCTGCCAGTGGTGATGGTGCTGCCAGTGGTGATGGTGCTGCCAGTGCTGGTGGTGCTTCTGGTCCCTGATGCATGGAAGGTGTTGGATTCTTCAGGATGCTGTGGGTGGGGGCCAGGCAGCTGCGCACGAATCTGAACAGCTAGCAACAGACACAAGTCTGGTGTGGAGCCGGCACAGGATTATTAGCCTGGCCGTATGCAGGATATACCGGTATGGGTGGTGCTGCTGCTGCTGGGTCAGGGGCATGCTGCCCGCATTTTGGTGTTTGCGCTGTGAATAAAGCGTGCTTATGATAGCACGGTGTGTATTCTTTTCCTGTTTCACTTATTGCTTGTGAGTTATGTATTCTGAGTGCAAACTCGTTCATTTATAATCATTACAGACACATTCATTTGGGGAAGATCTGATGCAGCTCGATATAGAGTTTCCATACCACCAGGACCGAGATCAATGTGTTCGGATTTGGGGCTAGCCTGACAAGAGACTGACAAGGGATCAATGTGTTCTGATCGGAGGCAGAGGAAACAAGCACTTGTGGTTCCTAACTGCATCACGTTTCACTGCCACTTACAGTGTGACAAACTAGACTACATGATGTCTCGTAGTAATTCAAGGGGCTACACAGGCAATTACCAGGCGAGAAAGTGTTAGTTCGTGCGCTTCCTATTTTTTTCCGTTGAATGCTCAGCCGCCCATTCCTCCCCATCCACCTTCAGTGTTGCTACTACCGGTATGTAGGTACCTAATATGTGCCTCAACATCCACGTTCCTCCTTCCCTCGCCTCCCATCCGCTCCGGCATTCCTCAGCTTCGGCCGCCCACTCCTCCCATCCACCACCACAGCCCAGCCAACCCCATCGCTCTCAACCCTTCCGTCGGTCCCTCTTCCCCTCTCGGCTCCTGTGCTATCACCGCATATGAGGCGCTTCTAACTTCACATTCCGCCTCCCTTCACCACTCATCTGCTCCTATATTCCTCCTTCCTTTACCGCTCATCTGCCCCGATATTCCTCAGCTTCGGCCGCCCACTCCTCTCATCCACCTCAACAGCCAGCCCCATCTCTCTCAACCCCTCCGTCTGCGCCCCGCCTCTCACCTCCAGAGCCGCCACGTCAGCAGCGTTCTCGGGGTTGGCTTCTAGAAGGTTCCGCACGGCCCACAGCCCCCACTCCCTGAGGAGATCGTCGCCCTGTGTGCTGTCGCCTGTCACGCACTGCTGCAGGACTAGGAATAGACCGCTGCTCATGATGCTGCTGCTGGGGGTGATGGCGGGGGTGGGGTTGCCGGTGGGGTGGGGGTTGCTGCTGCTGTCTTTGGTGGCATCCGTGGCAGTGGCACTGTTATCAGTAGCAGCAGCAGCAGCAGCAGCAGCAGCAGCAGCAGCAGCAGCAGCAGCAGCAGCAGCAGCAGCAGCAGCAGCAGCAGCAGCAGCAGCAGCAGCAGCAGCAGCAGCAGCAGCAGCAGCAGCAGCAGCAGCAGCAGCACCACCACCACCAACAGCACCACCAGGAGCAGCAGCAATAGCACCAGCAGCAGCAGCAGATACCGGAACGCTAGGAGCCGTATAGCACCTCACAGCATCCTGGTATGCCTTGCGCTCATGACCCGCATTTGCAATCACTGCCACCACATCCCTGCGGTACCCAGGGTACGGGTTACACCATGGGTACAGAGCGGTTGGGACTGGTGGAAATGTAGCTGCTGCTGCTCCTATCTCTGGATCTCTGATTGAACCTGGTGCTTTGTGGGGGGCATTTGATGCTGCTGCTGTTCCCGTTGCTGTTGTTTCTCTTGTTGCCGTGGCTGCTGCTGATGCGATAGCAGGGGGTCCTAGCCCATGCAGCAGGTCGAGCAGGAGCGGAATCAGGTCCGAACCTCCAACCGCTGCCAGCAGGTCCGTGCTTCCCAAGCCTGGGACTCCCGAGCCTGGTGGGGCAGGTTCGGCAGCTGGTACGGGGTCCAAGGCTGCGAGGATGCGAAGGCAGTGCAGGGCGAATCGGAGGATGTGGCGTGCTGACAAGGCTTCGTTATGAGGTACCTCGTTACTAGGCATTTGATTACCAGTAGCCACCTGGTTACCAGGCGACAGCAGCAGACTCTGGGCCTGAACCCGTGCCACAGCCCGTGCTGCACTCCTGCAAACGGTCAGGAGGAAATTCAAGCTGCCCGGACCAACAGGCGGAAATAATTCTCCTTGCTCCTGCCCTCTTTGGTCCTCTCCTTTCCCTTCCTTCGCCACTTTACCCTCCGTGCCCCCTTTCCCTATCCCGCCCTCCTTCTCCTTGCTCCCAACCCCAGCTGAGACCCCCTGTGCCTCTGCCACTGCAGCCAGTGCCCCCCACACCCCCCACAGCAGCCCTGCTTGCTCCCAGCTGAACCGGCCCCCATGAAGCTGCTTACGGAAAGAATCAGATGTTTCTTCCTTTTGTCCCCCCTCCTCCCCTTTTCCCTCCTTCCCCACTTCTCTCCCCTTCCTGCTCAGCCCAACGAACAGCGGCTGGAAGAAGCTTCCACGAAGGCACAGGCGCTCTAGCAGCAGGCTGAGCCAGGGATCGAGAGAGGTGGCGGGGGCGTCTGGGGGGAAGAAAGGGGAGGGGGAGGGGAGGAGGAAGAGAGTGGGGGAAGAAGAGGGACAAGTGTTTGTGAGCTAACCTTGACAGCTCAGGAGCAGGCTGAGCCAGGGATCTAGAGAGGTGGCGGGGGCATCTGGGGGGAAGAAAGGGGGAAGACGGGAAAATAAAAAGGGTTTGTGAGCTACCTTGATAGGTCAGGAGCAGGCTGAGCCAGGGATCAAGAGATGAGGCTGGGCCGTCTGGGGGGAGGGACGAGGAAGTGGGGGGAAGAAGAAATGGGTAGAAGGGGAAAGAAAGAGTGAGCTAGCTTGATAGGTCAGGAGCAGGCTGAGCCAGGGATCTAGAGAGGTGGCGGGGGCATCTGGGGGGAAGAAAGGGGGAAGACGGGAAAATAAAAAGGGTTTGTGAGCTACCTTGATAGGTCAGGAGCAGGCTGAGCCAGGGATCAAGAGATGAGGCTGGGCCGTCTGGGGGGAGGGACGAGGAAGTGGGGGGAAGAAGAAATGGGTAGAAGGGGAAAGAAAGAGTGAGCTAGCTTGATAGCTCAGGAGCAGGCTGAGCCAGGGATCAAGAGATGGGGCTGGGCCGTCTGGGGGGAGGAACGAGGAAGTGGGGGGGGGAGAAGAAATGGGTAGAAGGGGAAAGAAAAGTGAGCTACATTGATAGGTCAGGAGCAGGTTGAGTCAGGGATCAAGAGATGTGGGGGGGGGTGTCTGGGGGGAGGAACGAGGAGGGGGAGAATCAGAGAGGTGGGCGAGGGAGTGCTTTGGTGAGAAGAATGGGCGGACGTACCGTGATCGTGTGGGTTCGGCACGAGCCAAGCCCATTCCTCCTCCCTCTCCTCCCACTCCCCCAACTCTACTCCCTCCTCTTCCTCCTCCGCTTCCCTTCCCCCATCCCCATCCCCATCCCCTCTTCTCCCCCTCTTCCTCCACTTCCCCATCTCTCCTCTCAAAATCCTGCCCACCACACCAATCCCTTCAGCCGATCCTCCCAAACCCGCTGCTGCTTTCTGATTGGCCCGCACGCACGTGAACAGTACCATGCACAGTGCCGACCGCACCCCCGCTGCCCGCCCTGCCGCCCCGCCTGCTGCTGCAATCCGGGAGAAGGTTCCTGGAAAGCACCTGTCCCACACTGCCTGCTGCTCCCTCCTGCCGCCACCGCAGAAGTTTCCCAGAAGCTGCAGGACGGTTTTGAGTGTGTCTAGATGGTTCACAGGGAGAGGGACGGAGTGGCGGAAACGGGGGCCAGAAGGGGCAGCACTGGGGGTGAAGGTGGATAGAGAAGTGGGGTGGGGGGAGGGGGAAGGGGCGATGTGGGGGGGCAAGGAGAGCGGTTGGGGGGTGGAGAGCGAAGGAGGCATGCTTGAATTGACTGAGCTCAATTGCCCCTCTGAGAGATGGTCCCCTTCTGCTGCTGCTTCTGCTTCTGCTGCTGCTGCTGCTTTGGGAGCTGTTGCTGCAGATGTTTCTGACGTTTCTGCTGCTGCTGACGTGGCTGCATCTGACGTGGAAGCAGCTGCTTCTGGTATTGTCGCCTTGTTCTCTGTTTCTCCAAGTCTCTCTGCCACTGTACCTCCCACTTCAGCCATTAACGAAGCCAGAGCGTCTGATAACGAGGATACACTCCCCATCTCTTTCAATTTAGTCACATCCCTGGTCTGCGCCTTGATTGCGCCTGTTTCCGGCGCTGCCTGCAAGACGCGGCTCGTAATTAATTTATCCGCGATGGTCGCCACTAGGTTCACTGCACCGCACCTCAGGAACGCGTCCTGGTTGGCTGCCGAGCCTGCCAGCAGGTTCCGAACCACCCGCAGCGCCTGCAGCAGCGGCCGAAGCGCGTGCACCGCCCATACGCTTCTGCTGGGAGGAGCAATGGATAACCCCTGGAGCCCTCCATTTGCTGCGCCAGATGCGGCGCTGGATGCGGTTCCGGTTGCAGGATCGGACGGCTGTGCCACGTCAGCATCGGCGACATCAGCGGGATGGAAGATTCCGTGAAGCTCGGGGCAGTGCCTGGAGAGCTCGGGCAGGACGCCGACCAATCGGGTGATTGCAATTCCGCTGCCCGTAGCTCCAGTGCTGCCGTTACTTCTGCCCGGAGAGCTGCCCGTGAAAAATTCGCTTTCTTCTGTGAGCCAATCGCGCTCGCGCGATCTGGCAAGGAGATTCGCAAGCGCCTCGGCGAGAGGATCCAACGAGGCTACGTCTCCGCTAGCGAAGCGCGGGGCGAGCGATTCGACTTCGGTTAGAAGAGATTCCATATTCTGAGGACGTAGGGCGGAGTACTTCGTCAGCGAGGGCGACTATCGCGGTCAATAGAATGGTTGCCCAAACTTGTAAAATGGGTACGAGTGCATGCCTGAGAATGTAAGAATGAAGTATGGACGAGAAGAGGATAAAGAATGGAAGAGAATGCTTAAGAAAGGTATCATAAAGTAGTGTTTGGTGCGTTATCTAGGCGCTAGTTTGTGGGGACGTGATGATTGTGATGCGATCAAGATCGAGGGTTGAGATTGAGGGTTGAGGGATTCGAGAGCGTTCGGCGAAACGTTTCTTACATCGTCACTGTTACCGTGGTAGAAAATGTAGCAGGTGCGAATAGTCCCGATGTAAGACTTTCGCAAAAACAAGCATCGTTCGCATCACCGCCTCGAACTTTTCGCGCGGAGCACGTTCCGCGAGATTCCCAACTTCCCCACACCTCAAATTCTCCGCTCCCGCCAGTCCCCGCTCTACTACCGGATTCTCTCCCCGGGCCCTTTTTCCGCGAATACAAGCCCCCTGCTCCCCCTTCCCCTCCATGAGAATGGAGAATTGAGAAATCTCCAAGCTCAAACCTGACCAGCCATCACCGTCCCCGCCGCCTTGCTCCTACACACCCTGCACTGTCCGCCTCTGCCTGTAACCTCGGCGCGCTCCTCGGGTGCTCTCCGCGTGCAACCCGCACGCTATCCGCGCACCCTCCGCTTCGCCGTCCTCCATTCCGCGCATCACCTCCGCCCATCGCGTTCGTTCCTCGAAGCTTCGGTGCCAATGGACCTCGCGGTCCGGGCCCAGTGGGCACTTCAGCAGCCAATCAGTTCATGCCACGTTAGCGCAGCGTCAGCAGCTCGGCGCAAATCAGAATTAACCAGCCGCAGCTTCGGCGGGAATGGCGGAAGCCCGAGCTTTCTCCTTCTCTCCTGTTGCGCCCGCTTTCCCGCGCGGAATTCCTCCTCGCGCCGTCGAAACTCCGCCGCTTCCGCCTCCCGCCCGCGCGCGGTCGTCGTTCTCCGCTCGGGCAGCCGCCCATTAGCATCTCCGGGCAGAAGAAAAAGAATGCCGGCTGTTGCGACCGTGTCCATTGGCGGAGGTTGGGGGTTAGGTATGGGAGAGACAGGTTCGGCAGTAGGCTCGGCATGGGTCAATGCAGGTTCGGCAAGGGAACCAGCAGGCTGGGTGAAGGCTAGGGGAAGCACAGTGGCAGCAGCAACGGCTGTCTCATTGGCTGGGGACGGATCGAATCTGTACAGTGACGTATCAAATCTGGGCGAGCCCATCATTGACCAAGACGTGTTGACTCAGCAGCAGGAGGAGGAGTTGGAGGAGCAGGGGAGGGGCGGAGCAGCAGCAGCAGGGAAGAAGGGTGCAGTTGACATTAAAGGAAGAGAAGCGGAGGAAGCAGGGAGGGAGGGTGAGGAAGGAAGAGAGAGTAGAGGGAGGGTGGGAGTGGAAGAGGTGTTGGGGCGAATGAGAAGGGCTGTGCGGATAGAGAGCCTGGGAGCTGACGCACACGTGCATGTGACAGGTAATGTGATGGGGTGATGGGGGTTGATGGGGAAAGTGGCATGTCATGTCATGTTGATGACGTGAGTGGCATGATTGCGGGTAGTGGAGTCTATCCACTACCCGCAATCATGAGTGACGAGGAGGGCTGTGCGGATAGAGAGCCTGGGCGCTGACGCACACGTGCATGTGACAGGTAAGCGTGCTGTGATGTGATGTGGTAACATGTGATGTGCATATGGCAGGTAATGTGGTGGTGTTATGTGGTAGCATGTGATGCTGACTTGACAGGTAATGTGGTGTGGTAACATGTAGAGGGAGGGTGGGAGTGGAGGGGGTATTGCAGCGAATGAGAAGGGCTGTGCGGATAGAGTGCCTGGCAGAGGACACACACGTGCATGTGACAGGTAAGCCTTTTTGAGGCTTAAAGCCTCAAAGACATATTGATGCAGAAGTTGACATGACCCGTTATGACTGGAGTTCCCGTCTCTGCTCTCTGTTCACTCATATCTCTCCTCAACCCCCTCCCTGCTCCAACCGGCCAATCCCGTGCCGCCAGGTGTGCAGTCGCTGATGGGCATGGAGGGCACGTGGCAGCTCCTCGTGTCGCCAGCTGGCGGCCGATTCGTGGAGTCGTTCGTCGGGCGGCACATCTGGAGCGTATCGGGTTTCGCTGGCCAATCAGACACCAGCGAATCTGATACCGAACCTAGTGTTGCATCAAGTATCTCCTCTGATATCTTATCTGATAGCTCGTCTGATAGCTTATCAGATGCCGGATTTGACAACCCAGTTTGCCGCCCGGAAATCCAATCTACGGTGTGGGACGTGGATACGGCCGGGCGGGTATCTTCGTTGGATCTGGACGACCACGAGGTGTATCTGCTCTCCGTGTGGCTGCGTTCGTCTCTTTGGCTGCTGCCGCCCGTCGCCAGCTCAGCACTTGATATAAGAGCAGTGGGCGGCGAAGAGGAGATAGGGGAAAGTGGATCGGTTGATGGCATTCCGAATGGCATGAGGATGGAGATTGATGCACACGTGGCAGCTGATGATAGGGTCATCTTGGCGATCAACCTGATTGGTCGAGAGGTGCGTTCTGGTCATGGTCGTTTTTTAGTCTCTTTTCTCTCCTCTGCCCCCTTCCCAACTCTTATTTTCCATACCCCTTCCCAACTCCACCCACCTTCCCACATGTGGGTCTTTAGTCTCTTTTCTTTCCTCTGCCCCTTCCCAACTCTTCATGCATGTGCGTGCATCATCCCTTTCTTCCCACCCCCTTCCAGAGGTCATGATGTATGTGGCGTGGCGGTGCATCGCTCTGATTGGCTCCCGCGGGTTACCATGGTCATCGCAGTGCCCCGCCCATTCTGTTGAAGGTTCCGTTCTTTCCCACCCGTTCTGTCTTTCGCGGGTTACCTCCCTCACCGCCTTCCTTCCCACCCCCACCTCCCCCCTCCAGGTCATCATGTATGTGGCGGTGCATCGCTCTGATTGGCTGCCGCGGGTGGCAGTGGTTAAGGCATATGGGGCTCTCGAGACCTTCACCTTCACCCAATGGGCGCCAGTAGCGGTACGGTTGCATCACGGCTGTAGTTCGGTACAACTGTAGCCCTAGGGAGTAGCAGTAACAGGGATGTAACGGCACGGCACCCCCTAGTACGTTCTGTGCCTGTTATCTCAGTCGACTGAAAGAAGCTATCTGCAGCTCATCTGGTCAGCGCTTATCTAGGCACTGATGCTTCCCGTGCCTGATGTGAATGTGAATGATCTCCCCTTGACCCTCACAGCTCCTTCTCCCTCGATTATATCCTCCTTCCCCTTTCCTCCCCCCCCTTCCCATCTTCCCGTTTCCTCCCTCTCTTTCCTTTCTGCTTTTCCCCCAGCCTGACTGCCCGTTCCTGCTGCCCGCTGCAGTGCACCGGTCAACTTCAGCAGGCGCACATCAGTCTTTTACAGCTGCCCGAACCTCCTTCCTGCCGCCCGGCCCTGCCCATATCCTGCTACATGAGAAGGAAGCTTCCGATTCTGAATCCAAGGAAGCTTCTGAGGATCCTTCGTCCCTCTCGTTTTCATACGACATGCCGGGGTCTCAAACCGTCCCCAGCCCGCTGAGCTGCTTCCCGGAAGCTTCCTTTGACGAGAGCGCACCGGACGAGGTTGAGCTGTTTCAGTCCAACAGCGGGCATCTGCTGGTGCGACCGCGAATCAACGGTCAGGATGTGGGGTGAGTGGTTGATCAACGGCCAGGATGTGGGGTGAGTGATCAGGTGCAAGTTGTTGCTTCACCATTGAGCCTTCCGTAGCGGACCGACTAGTGCTAACCAGCTTCGGGTGTGTGTGCGCACACGGTGACAGTGCACGGACCACTCACTCACCACCCTCTCTGTCACATCTCTCTCTCTTCCGTCCCCTTACCACCCACACTACCCTGCCTGCAGCTACTTCATTCTGGATTCAAGCTGCTTCACCATCGAGCCTTTGTAGCAGACGGGCTAGGCCTATCACTGTGACACTGCACAGGCTAGCAGTGCTGCTCACTGGAAAATGTCCCAAGACGGGCTAGGCCTATCACCGTCACACTGCACAGTCTGTTTCTTGAGAATTCTCAGAAAACAGATCGAGCCTTTTGTAGCAGACGGGCTAGGCCTATCACTGTGACACTGCACAGGCTAGCAGAGTGTGCATTTCACACCCCCCTCTCAGAACCTCCTGTGATCTCTCCCCGCCTTCCCGCTCCCGTCACCCCACCCACCCACCCTACACGCCCCTCCCTGCCTCTGCAGCTACTTCATTCTGGATTCAGGCGCCAGCTGCTTCACCATCGAACCAGCAGTGGCGGATGGGCTAGGCCTATCCAGCTTTGTGACAGTGCATGTCCTCTCCCATACCCACCCCAACCACCTCCACCCACCCCCACCCACCCACCCTGCAGCTACTTCATTCTGGATTCAGGCGCAAGCTGCTTCACCATCGAACCAGCTGTAGCGGACGGGCTAGGCCTGTCCAGCTTTGGGTGTGTGCACACGGTGACAGTGCACGGGCCGGCAGAGTGTGCGTTCAGACGGGCAGACTCGGTGCAACTGGGACCGCTTTCCATCAGCAATGCATTGTTCGTTGATGTGAGTGAGGCAACCATCAGATAGTGACAGTGCACGGGCATGGGGGAGTTTGGATGTAGAGAGATGGGTGTGTGCACACAGTGACAGTGCACGGGCCAGCAGAATGCGCATTCAGACGGGCGGACTCGGTGCAACTGGGTCCTCTCTCCATCAGGAACGCTCTCTTTGTTGATGTGAGTGAGACAGCGCACACCCCCACCCCACACAGAGATGCGAGAACCAGTAATTCTCCGGTTTTCCCGAGTGAAGCTGGTGGTGGGAGGGATTTGCGGGATGGGGTCATGTTGCATCTTTCAGAATATATTTGAGAAATCTCAAAAAGTCCCTCCAACACCGAGGGATCTGCGGGGGGGTGGGGTCACGTTTGCATCTTTCAAAGTCTAGCCTCAACGACTCCCTTGCTGTCATGATTCATTTCTGGTTCCACACACTCTCACATCCACACACTCTCACATCCACACACTCTCACATCCACACACTCTCACATCCACACACTCTCACATCCACACACTCTCACATCCACACACTCTCACATCCACACACTCCCACATCCACACACTCTCACATCCACACACTCTCACATCCACACACTCTCACATCCACACACTCCCACATCCACACACTCTCACATCCACACACTCTCACATCCACACACTCTCACATCCACACACTCCCACATCCACACACTCTCACATCCACACACTCCCACATCCACACACTCCCACATCCACACTCTCACCACCACACAGGTGGGCGGAGCAGCGCTGGTGCAGGGAGTGAAGCCGGTGGTGGGAATTTGTGGTTACGACGTGTTTCGGCATGCGGTCGTGCACGTGCAGGTGAGACAATTTATGCACACCTAAACGGCTTTTTTTTCTTCTTTTTCTGTTTCTTTTGCTTGTAAGAATCGGGCAGAAGGGTAATGATCTTGTTATGCCAAAGACGCATTTCCTGGTGAGAAGGTGCATTTGTAAGGCAGGGGGCACGTTTTGGTGAGGCACACCGAAACAGCAATGACCACGTTGCAGAAGAGAGGCATGTTAAGGTTTTCCCACTTCCTTCCTTCCTCTTTATCCCTCCGTAACCCCTCCCGCCGCACTCCATCCCTTCCATCTACCACATCCGCACAGGCGCGCGGCAGGAAGGGAACCCTCCGGCTGTACAAACCACAAGAAACACAGGACACATCAAAAGCAGGCAGCACATTAACAGGAAATGGCACAGAGGATGGCACAGAGGAATTGGTCCGAGGCGAGACAAGGGACGTGCAATCTGCTGCTCTTGGTCTTGCGGATGGGTCAGCAAGTAGTGGTCCTGTGCCTCCTGGTGTTGCCATGGCGCAAAGACGGAAAAAGGGAGGCGGGGCTGGAGGAGGGGGAGGGACAGCGGGTGGGTTGTCAGGAGGCAGGGTGGCGGTGGTGTCTGCTGCTCTGGCTGGAGGTCATCCATCCGTGCCTGATCTCGGGGAAAATATCTACTGGGAGGTAGGTGGCTCTTTACTTTCTCCCCACTCCACTCTACTCCGGCTCTTCCCCCTCTACACTTGAAATAAGTGTCAAATTCTATCCCCTCTTTCCCTGCCCTCTCCTTTCCTTTTTCCTCTCACATCCGCCTTCCAAACGCTGCTCCTCTCGCCCCCCTTCCACCCATTAAAACGCCCCTCTCTCCTCCTCCCACCCCCATCAGCCGCTGTGTATGCTAGACAGCGTGCCTCATATCGCCATCTCCTTCCAAGAGCACTGGGACTCCCCTCTCCTCTCCAGCCTCTTTCTCCTCGACACCGGAGCAGCAGGAGTTGCCATCAGATTTTGCCCTCTCTACTGTCACCCCTTCTCAACCTTTCCCCGTGCCCTTCTCTCTCCTCTCCCCCCTTTCACGCACCCATCAGCCCCTCCGAATGCTGGGCAGCGTGCCTCACATCGCCATCTCCTTTGAATAGCACTGGTGACGTTTCAACCGACTCAAGTACCATTTCCCACTCCTTTCGACCCCTATGTGCCCTTCACAACCCTCTCCTCCCACCCCTCGCAGCCTCTGCGAATGCTGGGCAGCGTGCCTCACATCGCCATCTCCTTTCAAGAGCACTGGGACTCCCCTCCCCACTCCGGCCTCTTCCTTCTCGACACGGGAGCAGCAGGGGTGGACATTATATTCAACGCGCGGGCAGTGGAGCGGTGTCAGCTGGGGAGGAGGGCCAAAGGGGGCGACAGCTGGCTTAAGGGCATGGGGGGCGCAGGGGGAGGGGGAGGAGGACAGCAAATGACGGTGAGTGTCCTAAGCGTGTCAGTGTGTGGGTGAGTGTACGTGTGTGTGTGTGTGTGTGTGTGTGTGTGTGTGTGTGTGTGTGTGTGTGTGTGTGGGTGGATGGATGGGTGTGAGGGAGTGCGTGGGTGACTAACTGTGCCCGTGCCAGCAGCCCTGACCCCTTCTCCCTGCTCCTCTCTCCCATTCCATGCAAGTGCGGCAGGGCAACTTAGCAGTGGTGACAGTAGCACCGCAGCAGCTCAAGAACTTGTTAGTGTTTTTCTCCTCACTTGTTCTTCCTCACCCACTGCTTTTCTCATTCTCCCTACTGCTCCTTCCTGCTCCTCCCCCTCCCCAAAATGTAGGTGAGGCAGGGCGACCTAGCAGTGGTGACAGTAGCAGGGCAGCAGATCAAGAACGTTTTGGCGCTGTCGTCCTTAGCTTGTCCCCCTTCCCTCTCCCAACCTCTCTCCCTCCTCCCCTCCCATGCAGGTACGGCAGGGCAACTTAGCAGTGGTGACAGTAGCAGGGCAGCAGCTCAAGAAAGTGTCAGCGCTGTTCTCCTGAGCTTGTCGCCGTTCCTTCTCCCATCATCTCTCCCCCCGCTATCCAGGTGCGGCAGGGCAACCTGGCAGTCGTGACAGTGGCAGGGCAGCAGCTCAAGAACGTGTCAGCGCTGTTCTCCACAGCAGAGCAGGGAGCCTTGGAGTTGTCGCAGTACACTAGCGGATTGATATGCCGTAACCTACTCTCCAAGTTTGACCTTATTATCGACTATCCTGGGCTTCGAGTTGGCCTCATTCCTCGCTCTTCCCGCATGTCCAAGCTATAGAGAGCTGTGTGCACTTGATCAGTGTTACAACATGCTTGCTCTTGTTCTCTGCTCTCTGTAATACTTTGTTTGTTCATTATTTGATGTTGCAGAATTGAATTGACTGCTGAAAACTTGCCACGCAGATCAGGAAACATCTGTGCACTGCAGGAATCACACACCAGAGATCTGAGATGCTCCATGCAGTACATATGTCAATCATCTCACCTGCAAAATATGTGTGGATAAATGTGGGAAAGAGGACAGCCTTTTCTTCTGTAATAAAAATTGGGTAACCAATCAGCAGATAATAGTGATAAACGCTGACAGTGGACTGAGCTGAATCTGGTAATCTCTCGACTAGCAGAAACCCCATTGAATGGGCTACAGAAGGCTGAGGTACCTGAATATTGACAATGAATGACGTCCTGATACTGCCGGACAAAGCGGCAGGCCTGATTAGCAAGATTCTAAGCCAACCGATCTACTAAGCGCTGCTGCTGATTATATTTTCACTACTTCAAACTTAGCGCTAAGTACTACTAAGTGTCATCATGACTTAGCTATCAGGGAAGTTCTCGCCTCCGGTGTACGTCTGGTTGACCTGCCACGAAGCCGGAATCACGTTCTTCAGAACAATAACCTTCCCGTTGAAGTTGGTCGTCACGCGCAGCGTCATCGCCTGCCCGCCAACCTTGACCCCATTCAGCGACCACGTGGTCCCAAAGTTCCTGACAAGCGGCTTGAATCCGTTGCTACCGGCCAGTTGAGCTTCGATCTTGGAAATAGTTCCTGGTCCCGCGACGTTCAGAGGGAGAAGGTTGATGAACCAGTCGTTTCCCATAAGCACCTTGATCTGCATTCCACCTTTGCGAGGGCAAGGCACTCGCGAAACTCGCACGGCGACGTCGCCAGCGTTTCGCGTGGTGACGATCTGATCGTAGACGCTGGGCGGCAGCATGATCGATTTCTTGGGAAGCTGGCACAGGCCGCCGTGCGTTTTGTTGCCCTTGCAGTGGTTGGTGACTGTAACGGTGGCGGCATTCCCGTTGCATCTCTTGTTCTTCACGCACTTGATCGCCACGCACGCGCCGCAGGTCTGGCCGTCCTCGTACAGAATAGAAGACACCGCGCTAGTAGCAGATCCGATACCAGTGTTCACCGTGTTGCCGTATCCGCACGCGCCTTGAGCAAGGCCGCCTTCGGAGGGAGAAATCGTCGCGATGTAACCGCCATCCCACGTGTTGAACACGCCCTGGTTGATCTTAGCCCGCGTCGGCTTTCCTGGCTTCTTCGGCTGTGTTTTGCCGGCAGGAGGAGTCGCTGTTTTCGGCGCAGGCGTCGTTGTTTTCGGCGTAGGCGCCGGTGTGCCGGCAGCAGAGGCCAAAGCCACCAAGCACAAAGCCAAGACTAAAGACACAACAGCAAACGTAGACCGCCGAGCCATTGTTAGGTGCTTAAACTAAGCAGTCCAAGACGGAAAGAAATCACAAGTTCTGTCTGGAAGCTCTGGAGTGACAATCTGTGTATCCTGAAACGAGTGGAGACGGTAAACTAACTCAAGGAATGAAGTAAACAACGAGGAATGGTTCTGCTTTTCAAATGAGGCTCGAAAATACTGACTTAGAGCATGCTGTTTGTGGGGTCGGGTCACCCAGCCGCCACCGTCAGCAGCAGAGGACCCATTAGCGCGTAATCCGCCGAAAAGCGGCGACAAGTAACCAGCGGAAGCGGCGGGCATCGGAATTTGGGAGTCAGGGGGGACAAGGACGGGGCGTGTCGTGTCGTAGCGTCCAACCTTGGGATTTGCCGTTTTGCGGTCACAAAAGGTTTTGGTTGCGGCGAAAAGTGGTTTGTTGCGGTTCTAGTTATGCGAATGTCGAATTCGAGAGTCCGTTGCGGTGCGGTGAAATTCGTGGTGGCGGGAACTGGGGTCAAGTGTGTGCTTGCGGCTCGAATTTGGAAAGTGCAACTCTTTGACGCGTATTGAGTGGATCCTCATCCTCATAAAAGGTGGTGCTGATATATTTCCCATTATTCACCTAGTATGAATAGTGAAGAATCCACATAGCTTACACATACATTATGATTTTACAGACATTAATATGTGTTCGTATGCAATATTAGAAACATAAATCACTACATATACCAATATGGAGATAACATGTTTTGAATATATTAATAATAAGCTTATAGATTTGATAAAATTATGGCAATAGGTGAAAGAATGCTTGTTAAGACAACTTGGTAAATTTGAATAAAGCATAGGAAATTAAGCTATGGCATTATACATGACCCTATCCATGAACTGTACTTATCAAGCACATCCGCATATCTACAGCAACACCTAGCAAAGCAACTGACCAGACCAGCATCATATATTTCTGGGATTGCCGGCCAGTCCCACTCCCTTTTTAGGACCCAGCCTACCTATTTCAGTTTAGTCCTTGCAAAACCATTCCTTCTTTCGCTATATAGTGCTAGACATCCTCCACCTTTTTTTTTAACCTCGAGTCGCTCCGAGTGGCCATCATACCTTCCGGCTTCATTCCTCGTCGTACCCGCACCGTATCTTTCCCTGCACTGGCGGCGGAAGCTGGTACTTCTATGCTAACCAATCAGTAGAGTCTGCCATTTCACGTACAAAAAATCGGGTCATAGTTTATTGAACGAGGCCCTTCGCCGAAACCATGAGTTCAGATTCACGACCTCGTCGAAGAGTCGAGTCTTCCGAACCGACCAGCCGATCACCTCCTGATGATTTATCACCGGCGAGGTCGCCGGGAAATGCGGAGGCTACTGAGCATGGCCCAGCCGGCTTTACGGAAGCGCAACGGTTCGTGACTCCGCCGGAATCCCCGTCAGGAGTTCAGGGCATTCAGGGAAATGCCGCCATTGCCTTACAACGCGCTGCGGAAAGCTCACGAGCTCCGCAATCAGCGGTGGTTACTCTCGCGGAGGATCGTCGCGCGCTTCTGTCACACGCAAGTGGCGTCGATCCTGAAGTTGGACGAACGGGGAGCGGAAGCGACTGCCAGTCCGACAGGACTGGTGCAGCTCAGCCGCTCCTCAGACCCAGCGACAGCAGAGACGATCGCTCGCTTAACGGAGGGTCCTTTTCAGTCATCCAAGGCGTTCCGTCAGTCAGCAAAGGTGTTCCATCTGTGGCCGGGAATCGGGAATCAGCAAGAGGCGGTGGAAGCGGCGCAAGGGAGCAACCCAGTGGCTGGGGCTCTGAAGGGATGCTTCGATATCTACAGGCCCTGCTACCAAGGTAAGGCTCATTCTTTAGTCGCTTCGATAGAAGCGCCGTAAACACAGCTATCCATCCAGCAGCTGGGGCTCTGAAGGGATGCTTCGATATTTACAGGACCTGCTACCAAGGTAGGGTGGTGACGCGTTGGTATCCACTTTAAGGCGCCTAAATTAGAGCCCGCGCAAGGGAGCTTTCCAGAGGCTCTGGGACGCTGGGGGATCTATTTGAGGCGCCTCAAAACTGGACGCTGGGGGGATGCTTCGATCTCTACAGGGCCTGCTACCAAGGTAAGGGCTCATTCTTTAGCTTTTACAAAAGAAGTGGCGTAAACACAGCTATACATCCAGCAGCTGAGACTTTGAGGGGATGCTTTGATCCGTACAGGGACTGCTACCAAGGTAGGGCGTGGTACCCGAGATAAGGCATGGTAAGACTTGTCAGCAACATAAGAAATTTGATCAGGAACGGTGGGTTGGGGTACTTGTGATTTGTGGTTTGACTCTGAGCATAGTGCATCATGCAAGGACAGTCACAAGGACAGTTCATCCATCCTCCCATTCGCCTGACGCCATGACAACTCGCAGGAACGCAAACGTTCTCGTCTTGTTTCATTTTCCACACTCTCGCAACTGTTTCCTCCGCGCTCTCTACCTGAACTCCCGCCTATGGCCTTCCCAGGAACGCACAGGCGCTGCTGGCCCCGATAAAGGAACGCTTCTGGACAACCGCAGCCCTTGCAGTGGCTATTTCCGGGGCAGCGATTCTGCTGGCGGTTTCCCTCTCGCTCGCGCTCGTGCCTGCTGCTCCTGGCAGTGCTATGTCCGTGCAGGACTATGGAGGTGAGGAGGAGGTAGGAGAAAGTAGCAGGAATGACTAGATTGGAAGCTTCTCCAGTCGTGATTGGATAGATCACGGTGGTGGTCACCCTCTCTCTCGCGTTCGTGCCCGCTACTACAGTGACACAAGTGCAATGCCCGTGCAGGACATTGGAGGTGAGGTGTGCAACCGAGCAGGGATTACTGAGGCGCCTCAACTCAAGGGATTAGACTTTGTTGGTGGTTACCCTCTCTGTGCCAGCTCTCCATTCCCTTCTCTCTGCGTCCCCTCCCCAGTCCCTTTCAACCTATCCTGGCAGGGGTATCGCATCTACCTGCAGCAGCTACAGCCGCTGCAGCAGCACGTGGGCCTGCCCTCCATTCCCTTCCCCTTCTCCCTCTTCACCCAATCTCTCTGCGCCCTTACCCCACCCCTCCGCGCCCTCACCCCACCCCAGTCCCCTTCAACCTATCCTGGCAGGGGTATCGCACCTACCTGCAGCAGCTACAGCCGCTGCAGCAGCACGTGGGCCTGCCCTCCATCCCCTTCCACCCACTCGCCCGCGGCCCCCACGGCTTCATTCAGTTCTCCGCCTACCGCCTCGCCTCGCGCTCTTTCGCCATCGTGGGCTTTGGGGCACATTATCTCAAGGACCATTTGTGAGTGATGCACTAGAAGATGGTAGGCGCAGTTTGAGCAAAGCTTCCTCGTGCTCTTTCGCTGCTGTGGGCTTTGGGGCACATTATCTCAAGGACCATTTGTGAGTGATCTTTTTGAGCCGACTAAAAAACGGATTCATTTAATTCTCTGCATTCCGCCTCACCTCGTGCACTTTCGCTGCTGTGGGTGTGGGCTTTGTGACTCATTTCCTCCAGGTCCACTTGTTTTGTGAGTGATGCACTACCCGCTATTATGTGTGGTTTCAGTTTTCTTTTTCTTCTTCTTCTTCTTCTTTTTGGCTTCGCCGTGTTCTCGTTGTCGTGGTGTGGGGGTTTGGTTGAGCGAGGGGCGCATTTTCTCAAGGATCACCTATGAGTGATGCTCTAGAAGCCAGCTGGGAGCCTCGTAGGCGTTTTTTTAAGCGTGAATGTGACTTTAACAAAGAGCTCACATTCACGCTTATTTGTTGTCGTGGGCTCTTGGGGACGCCTTCTCTTAAGAATCAACTGTGATTGATGGTTGTGTTTGTTTTCGTCCCTGGTTGTTTTGTGTGTAATGTTCCATGCATGCATGCTGTGATGTGATGTGGCACCAGGGGCGAGGTTGTGTGCGTATGGCAGGGAAGCAAGGGGCTAGAGCTGAAGGGGAAACCTGCGATCATTTACACCAATCTGCGGGAAGAGAGTGACTACGATGCGATTGTCATGCGAGTGAGTTTGACTCTATAAGGGGGATATCAGCAAGGAAGCAAGGGGCTAGAGCTGAAGGGGAAACCCACAATCATTTACACCAATCTGCGGCAAGAGAGTGACTACGATGCGATTGTCATGCGAGTGAGTTTGACTCTATAAGGGGGATATCAGTAGGGAAGCAAGGGGCTAGAGCTGAAGGGGAAACCCACAATCATTTACACCAATCTGCGGGAAGAGAGTGACTACGATGCGATTGTCATGCGAGTGAGTTTGACTCTATAAGGGGGATATCAGCAAGGAAGCAAGGGGCTAGAGCTGAAGGGGAAACCCACAATCATTTACACCAATCTGCGGCAAGAGAGTGACTACGATGCGATTGTCATGCGAGTGAGTTTGACTCTATAAGGGGGATATCAGCAAGGAAGCAAGGGGCTAGAGCTGAAGGGGAAACCCACAATCATTTACACCAATCTGCGGGAAGAGAGTGACTACGATGCGATTGTCATGCGAGTGAGTTTGACTCTATAAGGGGGATATCAGCAAGGAAGCAAGGGGCTAGAGCTGAAGGGGAAACCCACAATCATTTACACCAATCTGCGGGAAGAGAGTGACTACGATGCGATTGTCATGCGAGTGAGTTTGACTCTATAAGGGGGATATCAGCAAGGAAGCAAGGGGCTAGAGCTGAAGGGGAAACCCACAATCATTTACACCAATCTGCGGGAAGAGAGTGACTACGATGCGATTGTCATGCGAGTGATTTTGACTCTATAAGGGGGATATCAGCAAGGAAGCAAGGGGCTAGAGCTGAAGGGAAAACCCACAATCATTTACACCAATCTGCGGCAAGAGAGTGACTACGATGCGATTGTCATGCGAGTGAGTTTGACTCCATAAGGGGGATGTCAGCAAGGAAGCAAGGGGCTAGAGCTGAAGGGGAAACCCACAATCATCTACACCAATCTGCGGCAAGAGAGTGACTACGATGCGATTGTCATGCGAGTGAGTTCTATGCTGGATATGACAATCATTGCCATATGTGTTGATGATGGCAATGATGATTCACACGTGATTACTAATAGGCCTCCCCTCTCTCCCTCCCCTCCTCTCTCGCTTCTCGGAGGAGAAGAAGAGGGAATGGGACGGGGAGGTGAGGTATAGTGCTGACGATCACAGCAGTGGTTCCTCTGGGTCATACATGGGGGATGTGATTTAGAGCAGGGAAGAAGGGGAATGGGGGAGGTGAAATCAGCAGGGAGGGAGGATGCTGATTGGGGTGATTGTTAGGACGAGTCTCGACTCAATGGTGTGTGATGGTAAAACCCGTTTTTTTCAGTAAAAAACGATTTTTGAGGTAAAAATGATATTTGAGGTAAAACGTATGGCAGGTGAGCGTTGATATTTAAAACTCATAAATCGACTCAATGGTGCGATGGCAAAAAACCGAGAATTTTAATGTCAACAGTGTGGTGGCAAAAGCTGAGGCTTCTCAACTCAAAGGTTTGTGATGGCAATGATGGCTCACACTTGATCGCTGATGGGCCTCCCTCCTGTGGTGAGGTGAGGTACAGTGCTGAAGATCACAGCAGCGGTATTTCTGAGCCATCAGAGGAGGGATAGAGGGCAGCAGGGGAATGGGGAGGAAATTTCAGTAAGGAGTGTGCTTATTGGGGGGTTGAGAGTGGTAGAGTGAGATTTCTCTACGGTGTGGTGGCAATGATGGCTGACACTTGATCGCTGATGGGCCTCCCTCCTCTCGTGGTGAGGTGAGGTACAGTGCTGACAATCACAGCAGCGGTATTGCTGAGCCATCGCTGGGGGGATCTGTGGATAGAGCTGCAGGGTAGAGGAATATGGGATGGGGTGGGGAGTGTGTAGCTCGTGGTGAGGTATGGTGCTGACAATCACACCAGTGGTATTGCTGAGCCATCAGCTTGGACTGTATCTAGTATTCTATTTATCAGCTTGTCCCCGTCCCCTTCCGCCCCTCCTCATCCATCCCAGTGCGAGTTATTAGATTCAACAGGGGGTGCTGGTGGTGATCTCATCTCAGGGGATACGGAATCTTGTGTCTAATCGTTTGTCGACATCATCTCATCTCTCACTCCACTCCATCCCGCCCCATCCCAGTGCGAGGTGGAGGAGTCAACGGGTGATGCTGGCGGTGACCTCAACGAATGCCTGATGCCATTTCTACTTGACCACCTCATGTCTTCATGTCCCCCCCCCCCCCCCCCTTTTCCTCCTCCATCCCATCCCAGTGCGAGTCGGAGGAGTCAACAGGTGATGCTGGTGGGGACCTTATGAGGTGTTGGCAGTGACATTGAAAGGTGCCTGATTCCACTTCTATTTGACCGCTTCATTTATGCCTGTCCGATCCCTCCCTCCTCATCCATCGCAGTGCGAGTTGGAGGAGTCAACGGGTGATGCTGGTGGTGATCTCTTCCTCACTATTGCTAGCGAGCCCTTCCTCGCTCTCAGGTGATTCTTCTGTTGCTTTCAGGTGTTTTTTCTGTTTCTTTCAGGTGCTTAGGTCCTTCTGTTTTTTTTTTTCACCTACCATTTGTGCTCCCTTGAAACATCCCCTGACACATCCCCTGGTCTCTTACCTTGTGGACATGTCCCCTCCCCTCCCCCCCTTCCACGCCCCCATCCCTTCCCACCTTCCACGCCCTGGTCCCCACCCCTTATCTTCCATGGCCCCATTTTATCCCCTCCTCCACTCTCCCATCCCACTGTGTGCAGCAGAGAGAGCCCTGCTATGCCATGCATGCCATGCCATGCCATGCCATGCATCATCCTATCGTGCCGCCCAACTTCGACCACCACTCCCTTCCTGGCATCGCATCCTTTTCGAGGCGCCTAATAAGCCGTACCTTGTTTGCCATGCACATTCCCCACTACCCTTCCCCCCCCCCCCTAAACCCTTTCTCCACGTTCCCACCCCACCGTACGCCTCAGAGAAAGCTCTGCCCTGCAACATGCCGTCGTGGCGCCCGACTTTGACCACATCTCCCCTCCTTGTATTGCCTCCCTATCCCTCCACGCCCCCATCCCCTCCGCCCCCACCGTACGCCTCAGAGAAGCCTCCGCCTTGCAATGCAAGCAATATGTCATCATGCCGCCCGACTTGGACCACATCTCCCCTCCTTGTATTCCCTCCCCATCCCTCCACGCCCCCATCCCCTCCGCCCCCACGTGCTTCAGAGAGAGCTCCGCATTGCAACATGCCATCGTGCCGCCCGACTTTGACGGCCTGCCGCATGTGCTGACGATGTGCGCCGTCCGCATGGGGCGGCAGGTGGAGGCGAGGCTTGTCAACGAGTGGGTGAGCTACCACTGGCACCTGGGAGCCACCCAGTTCCGCCTGTACGACGCTGGAGCCATGGACAAGAGGTGAGTGCTGTGAGCGGTACCAATGTAAGTACTTCGATGTGCCATGCACAGGGGACAGGAGGCTAAGAGGAGAACCAGGCACAGGTGGGTGAGCAGAGCAGCTATCACTGTCAGCTTGGGGCCTCTCGGTTTTGCCTGTACAACTCTGAAGTAGTTTGAGTGGTTTGAAGTGCCATGCACGCGGGAAGAGAGATTATAAGGAGAACAGGTGGTTGCAAGAGGGAGAATTGTGTTTAAGCGAATGCGTCCAAAGCTCTCTATCAAGTAGCCCCTAAATCGTTCAAGCTCCCTTGAGATTCTATCCTCCATTTCTGTTGGCTTTTTTCCCTATGACTTATTTCTTTCTTCTCTCCCTCCCTCCCTCCCTCCCTCCCTCCCTCCCTCCCTCCCTCCCTCCCTCTCTCTTTTCCGTGGCTTCTCAGCCTGGCCACGGTCCTCGATACCTTCCTGCGCAACGACTCGTTAAAAGTCATCCCCACACGGCAGCTCTCTTTTTACAATATCGAGTACGATGCGCATGTGAGTAGAGTACCCTTACCCTTTTTCCCTCCCGACCGAACCTCCCTCTCACCATCATCACCCTTCTCGTTAAGAGTCATCCCCTCTGTCCCCTCTCTTCCCCCCCCCCCCGTTCCCCCAGCTGTGCTTTCGCCGCATTCTTCCCTGGTTCCGTCTCTCGCCTCTTTTCCTTTGCTTGCCCGAAAAATGTTCAGGAACTCTTTCTGTTCTTCACTCTTCTTTCCTGATTGCATCTTATGCCTCTTTCACCTTTTTTTGCCCTCCCTCTCCTGACTGGCCCTGCCCTTCGGCCCCACCAGTCCCTGAGCGCCCTAGACTGCCTCTACAGCACACACTTCACCTCGCAGTGGGTTACCGTGTTACCACCCGACAGTTACCTCTACATCACACCCCCACACACCCTCCTCTCCTTCCTCTCCCAATACGCCTCCAAGCCCTGGCTCACTTTCGGGGCACACGAGTGGAGCACCGAGAAATGCCGGGAGGGGATCGTGTGGGAGAATGTTACGACAGAGGAATGGATGGGGTGGAGGGAGGAGAGTCCGTTTGTGGTGGAGTGGCTGGCGTATAGGCGGAGGGAGAATGTGTGTGAGGGGGGTGGGGACGACCGGGAGAAATGCATTGGGAAGGAGGGGCAGCGATCGCACTTCACTAATCCGAGAAAGGTGCGTGTGTGAGTGGGGTGTGTGGATGGGGAAGGATGCAAGTCCGTTTGTGGTGGAGTGGCTGGCGTATAGACGGAGGGAGAACGTGTGCGAGGGGGGGGGGGGGGACCAGGAGAAATGCATTGGGAAGGAGGGGCAGCGATCTCACTTCACTAATCCGAGAAAGGTGTGTGCGTGTGGTGTGTGGGTGGCAAGTGTGAGTGGGACGTGTGGGACTATAGCACCATTTTCATCAGTACTCCCTACAGCACACTATATCCATTGACATCCCCTGTAGCATGATTTCACCTGCGATAACTGCAGCCTCAATTCCATCTGTAGCCCCCATTACAGCACTTCTGTTGGTGATCCCTACAGAGCTATTTTTCATTTGCAGATCTCCAACACCCCCCATTCCCCCTATTCCATGCAGGCTGGTGTCTTAGGCTACTATGATGTGCGAGAGACAGACAGGTGGGGGGAGCATGCCACTTATAGCAATATTTCCATTTATAACTCTCCAACACCCCCCATTCCCCTATTCCATGCAGGCTGGGGTCTTGGGCTACTATGACGTGAGAGAGACAGACAATGGGGGGGAGCATGTTGTGTACAGTGAGATGCACAAGAACATGTATCCGAACCTGCACGAGAGGTCCGAGTTCGGCCGGACCTGCCGAGAGGTCAGTGCTGCAGAGGGATGGGACGGGTGGGTGAGGGACGTTACTGCAGCTGATTACGCCAAGCAGTTAAGGAAAAGCCCCCAGCCAACAGTTTAAGAGCTTAAAAACAGTGTTTCCAGTTCTACATAACTCCTTCTCGTGTTCAGAAGCTAGCCTAGTGCCAAGAGATCATAAAGCCTTCCCAACGAGTTTCCAGTTATTTCTTAAGACTAATCATCTTCTCATGGTACTTCTCTAGTCTAGCACCGCTAAGTAGCAGCGAGAGCGGGAAGAAGGCAGCAGAGTTGAGTCATGGCTGCAGCTGTCTTGGTGCAAACAAGACACTAATCAGGCGAATTACACACTAATCCTCCTCCTCATAGTACTCGGAAGCTAGTCTGGCACCACTGAGCAGCAGCGAGGGCAGGAAGAAGGAAGCAGAGATGAGAGCCATGGCTGCAGCAGCCTTGGTGCGGGCGCAGAAGGTGTTGAAGGGAGTTGACCCTGTGCATATGAAGGGGCGGCCTGGCAGGCCCTGGTCGTTGAGAGTGGTCAAGGCAGCCGTGGCAGCACCAGCACTCAGGGCCATAGATAGAGCAATCTGCAGCGATGGGACAGCAAGCGGATTGGGCAGGAGAAGATGGGGAATGAGCAGTGGAGAGGCTGAGGCGTTGACCCCGTGCAGATGAAGGGACGGCCTGGCAGGCCCTGGTCGTTGAGGGTTGTGAGGGCAGCCGTGGCAGCCCCGGCAGTCAGGGCCATGGATAGAGCGATCTGCAATAGAATGGTAAGGGGGGTTGCAAGTGGGTATAATGGGTACAAGTGAGTGCAAGTGGGTGTGAAGGGGCGGCCTGGCAGGCCCTGGTCGTTAAGGGTGGTGATGGCAGCTGTGGCTGCGCAGGCACTCAGGGCCACAGAGTGGCATAGGGCTAGGCAGTCACAGGTCAGGAATGTGGAGTGGGCATGGCAGCTGTGCCAGCAGCATGAGAGGGCCTTATGGGTGGGAAATGGTTGGAGCACCAGCACAGGGGCATGTTGAAACAGAAAGGAGGTAAGGTGGCAGGGTGGCATAGAGGGGGCCCGATGGATGAGGAAGGAGGGAGTTGGAAATTTACTAACGGTTATGGTTCACCGCTGCCTGTGTCTAGGGAACAATAGAAGAGGAGGCGGGGAGGGTGAGGGTAAAGCAACTGGTGGGACACTTAGGCCAGCAGGAGCACATGAAGCAGGAGGGGGTGCTGGAAGCTAGAAGGTCATGTTGGCAGCTAGAAGTTTGATATGCTGAAAGCTGGTTGTAGCTTACAAAGTCACCAATCACAATGGCCCACAGCAGAGCCGTCGAGTGAAGCAGCTTCCCAGAAGCTGCCAGGAAGCAGTCCAGAAGCAGCATCAGCAGTGCCCAGAACCCAGCTATAACTGTCCCCGCTATAAGAAACGAGAAGGCGTGCCAGTTGGAGAACCAGAGCAGACCTGCCCCTGCGCGGATCATCACAGGGAAGGCGGAAACGGCAGCTGCCAGCTGCAGGAAGCGCAGCAGAGGGTTGAGCCACTGGGCGGCTTTTCGTGGACGTTTGTTGCGGAAACCGGACGGCTCCGGTCGGCCTGCTTGTGTCTCCATGATGACTGCTGGGGAGGCTGTAGATGACTTGGAGTGAGGTAACTTGAGATTTGTTGGGGCTGGATTCAGGAAAGCTAAGAGTGAACGTGTGGAGAATGAGCAGCAGAGGTGAAAGTAGCTCTGATGGATTTATCTAACACAGGCAGAGCAGAGGGAAGAGTGGCGTTTTGTGGGGCTGTTGTAGAAGCTAGGAAGAACCTCTAGTCAGGGAGAATGGAAACAGAAAAATTAGGTGATGAGAACAGGATCGAGTTGACAAAGCCACTAACTGGAGGATGTATGGAGCTGGGGATGGACGTCCGTCTGCCTGATTACCCGCTGAGCTCGGAATTCTGGCCGCCAGATTGCAAGAAGCGCCAGAAGTGGTGGTCGTTGGGTCACATTAGCAGACAGAAGAGAGGTTGAGAGAGGGAGACGAGGGCGAGAAAGGGGTGAAGGGAGGGAGGGAGGGAGCAAGGGTGCATGCACTGGCTTGGGAAATTTTGTTCCGAGCGCGAATTCTGAAGCGACGACGCGCGAATTCGGAAGCTACACACGTCGTGTTTCTCGCAAGGAAAGGGAGCGCGTCTGAGGTCCCTGCCTTGCTGGGTTACACGTGTGCTTCGCGCACGAGACGAGCAGCTGTCATTGGGTTGGGGTTGTGTTGCATTTCGCAAACTGTTTTGCGGAAATTTCGTGAATGGTAACTATTCCACGTCAGCGTGAAACAGCTGTTCCAGCATCACAAGAAGGCTTGCATGTCGTTTGGTTGGGAGAACGAGGAATTGGTAACGCGAGTGGAGAGTCGGTTGGAATGGGTGTGGAGGAGAATGAGATGACACATTTCAGGCATCAGCAATAAAAACTTCTGTTGCGGCGCGAACAATTCGTGATTTCTGAACATCCGATTTCCCCGTCAATTTCCTTCGTCTCGTCGCTCGTGGATTCCTAGCACAGGAAGGCAGCAACTGTGACCACCACCCTCACACCCCCTCTTTTAATCGTCAGTAGCTTCGCGCGTTGTTCCCGTTTTAGCTCCTTACCACCCGACGAAGAGCTATCAACTTACCTCTTGTTCTAGCACAGGGGAGTATACTGACGAGAAAATTACCTTGGCGTTCATATTTGACGGTCTTTTTGGATATTTTCAAAGATGATGCCAGTAGGAGAGAGGCCTGCACCAACGGGAGAAGCAGAAGCTACAGGCGAAACAGGAACGAGGGCTAAACAGATGGACACGAAGGGAAGATCTCCTGACCAATGGGTGTCGCTTTTATTCAGGTCGACCACCTCCTGAAACGAAATCACTCTCACCATATCAGTTTTGAGACGTCCATACTGTTTGTTTTTACTTCTATTTTCATGTATTTGTTGTTGCCTTCTGCAGCCGTTCAGTCTCAGTCCCATCCGCAGGGCGCATGGCCAGCAGCTGATTCCGATTTCACGTGCAATGCTTGTGCAGGTTCCTTCAGCTGGCCTCATCGGTCATATCCTTTGTGGTGCTGCTCAAAGCGGGCCACCTGGACCTCGATTTCAGAGTAAATATCCATCCCATAGCCTTGATTGCGCATGAGTGTATAATTGTTTTTGTGTTGCTTTATCGCTACAACATCTGCCTCTTTTGCCAGTCGCATGATAGGGATTCAGTTTCCAGTTGAGGAATAAAAATATAGTCACTTGAGAAGAATTGCTCCCTTGTCTCGCAATTTTTCTTGGTGTGCCACTCTGCCTACTGCCTTTTCTCCGCATCTTGTACCACTCTGGCAGCGGTACCAGGCGTTTCGCTATCTCCTGGCAGGCATGGTCATAACAGCTGCCTGGTCGCTCCTCATGCTGCTGATAGAACTGCTTCAACTTGCCATGGGCCGCAAGCTCCGGTCCCTGATTTGGCGAGGGCTCGTCTATCTCATGGACATTGTAAGTCCCATTTTCTTTTATCACCAATCAATGCTTCCATGCAGGTTTCTACTTCTCTTCTCCTGCTAATATTTGTTGGCATTGTGGACTGTTGCTTTCTGCCCCGATGCAGCTTATGGCATTGGTTGCCCTCAGTGCGGGAGCTGCCGCAGCCGCAGTTACCACGTTCAATGATCGGGGAATAGTGCTCTTCAACTATGCTCCATGTGTTGGACCGTCACCGTATTCTAGGTTTTGTTCAAGAATCAAGGCTAGCACTGCATTTGCATTCATCACATTTTTCTTCTTCCTTCCTCACATCTTGTTGTCCGCCATCTCTTATTTCATTCGTTTCTTCGAAGGCTAGTGGAAGAAAATGTTTTATAGATTTTATTGACATGCATGTATGAATGAAGTGCGGGTTATATTTTGCACAAAACTGAAAGAACCATTCCTAATCCCATTTAGAAGTCAGGCATCATTATTGAGCTGTAGCAATAAGGAGCATCACTCCACAAACCGTACAGACACTGAGCGGGGTTTCCATCGCTGCGTCTTGTATGCACATGTATCACTCGGACGGAGCACACAAACCATCTCTAGAATCAGACGGTCTCAAACAGCTGCCATCTTACAAATCTGCGCGGGATTATTTTGGGAAAAAACGCTTTCATCCAATTACTGACGGTAGGCGTCAGAAGTTTGGAGAAACTCGTAAACTGTCTACATACGCGTTACCGTTTTCGGCACGTTTTTACAATGCTAGCGATTATATGTCTTTGGCTTCTTGATTCTGCCTTGGTTCTGCTTCCCCCTTCAGAACCTCCGTGTGTTTTTGATCAGGCATCTCTCTCGAGCCTTCTTCTCCCAAGGAGCACCTACCACCATTGAACACTCCATTTGGCGAGTAGAGATTTATTCTAGTGAAGGTCGCTCGCGTTTCTTATGATACGGTTGACCGTCGCTGGCACCTAAGATAGGGCCACTTCAGCATTCCGTACTCTCAGTTCCGCATTTTCCTGCTGATCCTCACTTTCGCGCTGTTAGCTCCTAGGATCGCATTTGAGTAATGGCGGAAGCAGCGGCAGCATGGCAACCGTCGGAGCAGGGAGCGAACGAGATCTGCACGCTGCTGCACGAGTACCTCAAACCAGGCGTCGATCAGGCGCGAATCTTCCAGGAACTGCAGCGATGCAGCCAATTCCCAGATTTCAACAACTACCTCGCGTTCCTTCTGTGCAAGGGAGAGGTGTGCAACCGTCATTCCCGCAATATTTCGGATGATAGAATTTTATGTATTAGCGACTTCCTCGCATTCCCGTTGTGCTAGGAAAGGTGCGAAGTTGCCGTCCCGTGTACGATGGAAACTAAACGAAAACTGAAAGCATATTCGAGTCGCGACTATATGTGGTTTCTGTTTTTTCCTATCTTTTTAGTTTCCGAACCCAGCGTGTTACTTCATAGGGGAGTTTTTTTAAACAGCCTTCGATCTCACTTAAGCAGTCTTCGGTCTCACAGAAACCAATCGAGCATTTAGGATCTAGTCGATTGACCGTGAAGGTTTGGTGAATGTAGTATCAGGGAGTAGCAGAGGCAGCATTAGGGATTAGTCAACGTAGCAGAAGGGGTTAGTAGTGGATCACAGGTTGATCGTCTTTCTGAATTCTCGAAATTTGACCGTTTGAACCCCTGATGCCGAGCCTCGTTTCGTTCGGTTTTGTCGCGATCCGACTTATTGTTCGATCCGGCTGATCATTACTCGAAGCGATTGACTGGTCATTACGCGAAACTTCAGTCTGTGCTTATGCTCACTCGCCGATTGTTTCTCTGCTCGCGATCCATCCATGTGTGCTGACCTACTCGTCGTGGCTAGCTCGTGGCTCATATAACACCTTAGGCATCCCTTCCTACCTAGTGACCATTGTGTCATAGTTCCAGTGCGGCAAATTTATTCGTCTATGTTCTGCCTTTTTTCTCTCTCTCTTTTCAATTCCCCCCTCCCGATGTCCTTCCTTGCAGAACCAACCAGTGGAGGTCCGTCAGAGCGCGGGTCTCCTCCTGAAAAACAACCTGAGAACCGGCTACGAGAACCTGAACCCAGCCTATCTGGCCTACATCAAAGCGCTTTTGCTACCCTGCATAGGCCTTCCGGACCACCAGCTGCGCGCTACAGTGGGCACCGTTATATCGTGCATTGTGGAGCAGCAGGGCGGGCTGCATGCGTGGACGGATCTGCTGCAAGTGATGCTGCAATGTTTGGATTCGAACGATTTCAGCCACATGGAAGGGGCCCTCGATGCCCTTTTTAAGGTCGGTTAATGAGTCTGCTTGTATCGAGTCCAGAGTTTGGGCCACGTCGGACCTGCTGCAAGTGATGTTGCAGTGTTTGGATTCGAACGATTTCAGCCACATGGAAGGGGCCCTGAATGCTCTGTTTAAGGTGTGTTAACGGGTGTGCTTGTAACGAGTCCGGGGGTTGGTTCTAGTCCGAAGGTGTTGCAAGGGATGCTGGAGTGACTTGACTCGAACGAATTTGGCCTCCCTCGTATACCCTTTCTCCCTCTCCCCCTGCCACTCCCCCTTCCCGCTCCCCTCACCCCCCACACCCCCCTTCCCCCCCACACACTCCCTCCCTTCCCCCCACCTCAACCCCACCCGTTCTTTCCAGATGAGCCGCTGCAGGACATGCCGCTGCTTCTGGACAGGGACAACCCCGGTCTGGCGGAACGCCCCATCACCTGGTTCCTGCCTCCTGCTCCCCTCGTGTCCCACTGTCTGCTTCGTCAATACCCCCTCAGATGAGCGAGGACATGCCTCTGCAGCTGGACAGGGACAACCCCGGTCTGGCGGAACGCCCCATCACCTGGTTCCTGCCTCCTGCTCCACTCATACCCCCGCCTCAAAACCCCCTACTTTCGCCCCCAACCCATCTCCAACTCACTCCACCCCTCTCCACCCCTCAGATGAGCGAGGACATGCCTCTGCAGCTGGACAGGGACATCCCCGGTCTGGCGGAACGCCCCATCACCGGGTTCCTGCCTCCTGCTCCACTCATACCCCCGCCTCAAAACCCCCTACTTTCGCCCCCAACCCATCTCCAACTCACTCCACCCCTCTCCACCCCTCAGATGAGCGAGGACATGCCGCTGCAGCTTGACAGGGACATCCCCGGGCTGGCAGAGCGCCCCATCACCGTCTTCCTGCCCCGCCTGCTGCAGCAATTCGCCTCGCCGCACGCCAGCTTGAGAAAGATGGCGCTGGGGAGCGTGAACCAGTTCATTCTGCACATGCCCAGGGTAGGTGCTGGGAGGGGTGGGTGGGGTGGGTATTGGGAGGGGTGGGATAGTGCTATTACAGGATGGGATCTGGGATTCCTGCTGCGCCTGCTGCAGCAATTCGCCTCGCCGCATGCCAGCCTGAGGAAAATGGCTCTGGGGAGTGTGAACCAGTTCATTCTGCACATGCCGCGGGTAAGAGGTGTTTGGGGGTAGGCAGTGCACTGGTTGCACATGTACAGGGCGATGCGCATGTAGCGCCGCTGCTTCAGCAATTCGCCTCGCCGCACGCCAGCTTGAGAAAGATGGCGCTGGGGAGTGTGAACCAGTTCATTCTGCACATGCCAAGGGTAGGTGTTGGGGAGGACTGGGTGGTTCACAGCACATCCACAGGGTGAATGAGCTGCACACGCCTCCTCCTTCCAACGCATCTTGTTCTTCTGCTATTTTTTCTGATATTGGAGGGGTTATGGGGAGCCTTGGGATTACCCCGTACCTCCGCTCCGCTTCTCCCTCTATCCTCCCTCCCCCTCTCCCGCTCCCCCCTCTCCTTTCCAAGTCCGTTTTCGGGCGCCTTGGAAACAGACTCCTCCTTCACCTCCTCCCGCACCCCCCCACACCGTCAGGTGCTGCTGGTGAACATGGACAGCTACTTGCAGGGCCTCTTTGCTCTTGGCTCCGACCCCATCCTCCCCACCCTCACCCCCATCCCCCCCACCCCACCCCCCCCCCACACCTTCAGGTGCTGCTGGTGAACATGGACAGCTACCTGCAGGGCCTCTTTTTGCTCTTGGCTCCGACCCCATCCCAGAAGTTCGTTTTCACACACCTCAAACACACGCTCCTTCCCCCCGTTTCTCCCTCCTCCCCCCTCCCCCACCCCCCCACCTTCAGGTGCTGCTGGTCAACATGGACAGCTACTTGCAGGGCCTCTTTGCTCTTGGCTCCGACCCCATCCTCCCCACCCTCACCCCCATCCCCCCCACCCCACCCCCCCCCCACACCTTCAGGTGCTGCTGGTGAACATGGACAGCTACCTGCAGGGCCTCTTTTTGCTCTTGGCTCCGACCCCATCCCAGAAGTTCGTTTTCACACACCTCAAACACACGCTCCTTCCCCCCGTTTCTCCCTCCTCCCCCCTCCCCCACCCCCCCACCTTCAGGTGCTGCTGGTCAACATGGACAGCTACCTGCAGGGCCTCTTTGCTCTCGGCTCTCCGACCCCATCCTCCCCACCCTCACCCCCATCCCCCCCACACACCCCCCCCACACCTTCAGGTGCTGCTGGTGAACATGGACAGCTACCTTCAGGGCCTCTTTGCTCTTGGCTCCGACCCCATCCCTGAAGTCCGCAAGCTGGTGAGTTTCATGGGAACACATAATCTAGTTTGCATATTTGTGACGGTGCTAGTTTAGTTGGTGACTGCAGCAGGGTCTGCTCAACTGTGTGCGCTTTCTGAGGCGTCTCTAAACGTTTCTTACCATGTGCGTCCGTCTGTGCATCGCATCTCCTGTGACTGCTGGTTCGTGACTGCAGGTGTGCTCAGCTGTGGTGCAGCTCATCGAGTTGCAACCTTCCTTCCTCCTGGTAAGCACCCTTCCATCTTAAGCACCTTTCCTCTTAAGCACCTTCCCCTTTAAGCACCTTCTTTCTTTAGCAGCTTCCCTCTTAATCACCCTCCGTCTTTGGCAGGCTGCCAGGTACCTTCTTCCAGTAAGCACCCTCCACCTCCCTAATCTCCCCTCCCCCTCCCTCCCTACCTGTCTCCCCCAGCTGCACATGCGCAATTTGATAGAGCTCATGCTCGCATCCATCTATTCCCCCACTCTCCTCCTCTTGACCACCCCGCCCAACCCCCCCAACCCCCCCACAATCCCCCTCTACTCCTCCCTCGTCCTACCCCCTTCCCCCCCACCCCCAGCCGCACATGCACATAGTATACATGCTTGCATCCACTCGTGGTGCCATCTATTCCCCCCTTCCCCTGCTCTTAACCCCCTCTTCTCCCCTCCCCCCCCCGCCCCCTCTATATCTACCCCCAGCCGCACATGCGCAATGTGATAAGAGTACATGCTCGCTTCCACACGAGACTCTGACCCGGATGTGGCTCTGGAGGCGTGTGAGTTCTGGTCCGCTCTTAACCCCACTTTCTCCCTCCCAACCCCACTTCCCCCACCCCCAGCCGCACATGCGCAATGTGATCGAATACATGCTCGCATCCACTCGAGACTCAGACCCCGATGTGGCTCTGGAGGCGTGTGAGTTCTGGTCCGCCTACTGCGAGAACAACCAGTCGCCCGAGATGCTGCGGGAGTTCCTGCCCCAGCTCGTCACGGTACGTTCCTGCCTGCATGGGGTGTGAGTGTATGGGGTGACTGGTCACCGATACAGTGAGGCGAGGTAGAGTGGAGGCGTGTGAGTTCTGGTCCGCCTACTCCGAGAACAACCAGTCGCCCGAGATGCTGAGGGAGTTCCTGCCCCAGCTCTTGACGGTACGTGCTTGTAGCTCGTCCCTCTGTCTCTTTCTCTCTCTTGTTCCTTCTTCACACATCCCTACTGCACCCCCCGTCACTCAGTTCTGACTTACCTCTACACATCTCTTTCTTTCCACCCGCCGCTTCCTCGTCCCCCCTCCACTGGCTAACCTCTTCCCCAGTTGACCCGCTTCATGTGAATGTGAACTTTGTTCTCCTGACTATTTTTGAGGCGCTTCATAAACAGAACCAGGTCTTTTGATGAACGTGGTGTATGCGGACGATGTTGCTTTCACTGATGCCGAGAGATTCTCGAATTCCTCACCACCACGCATGTCTGTGTGCTTCTCTGTGTGCGCGTGTGTGTGCCTCTCCTGTTTCTCACACAGGTGCTGCTGACGAACATGGTGTATGCGGACGATGACGAAGCGGTCATAGATGCAGAGGTGAGACCGTGAGAGACATGTACCGACTCTTGAGGTGACTTGGAACGTGAGGTGTGTGCATGTGCATGTGGCGATGTAGGTTGTGTATGGTCATAAGAAGTCTAGTTTTGAGGCGCCTTAAAACTGTGTGTGTGTGCCTCTCCTGGCGATGCATGTGGCGATGTAGGTTGTGTATGCTCATAAGAAGAAGGTTGTCCTTGCAATGACCCGCAAGCAAGGGCTGCAGTAGTGTGGAAAGGCTTTTCAAGTGTTTTTATATTATCCGTTATGTCTTTCTATTCAAGTATTAAACTCACTGTTCTTTTAAACGCAATTTTAGCTTGATACCTTGTAATTTGTGTTGCTGGGGCTGTTCGTCCTGTTCCTTTCCCGTCCTAATCCCCAATTATTGAACGTTTCATACGTCCTAATCGCCTCTATGCTCCCTGTTCTCTACGTGTGTGCTGCTGCTGCTGCTGCCCACAGGACGAAGGGGATGCTCCAGACTCTGATCAGGTGAGGACTAGTTGTGTACGCATGGCATGGCTTGGTCACATTTCGCCCAGTCTCGTTTGTTTTTTCTACTTTCTTCTAATCATCAGTCTGCCATCATCTCAGTATAAATCAGTTGCCCTCCCCAGCTGCATTTTTTCCCTGTCTCTCTTTCCCTCATCTCTGCTCCCTCTTCCTCATGTCTTCTTCTCCCTCTTTCTCCCCTTTCGTTTTGAGACGTCCGAAGTCTCAAGTTCCATCGTCTAAAACATTTTTCACGCCCCCCATCTCTTCGCCCGCTCCTCTTGTTACCCTCCCAGGATTTGAAACCGCGCTTCCATCAGTCCAGGCTGCACGGTGCCAATGGCGAGGTGAGAATAATTTGAGTTGACTTAAAGTGACTTTACCTGACGAGCTGACTTAAGTTGACTTTAGGTGCAGGGTTTACGAGTTGACTCGAGGTGACTTGAGTTGGCCTGGGCTTCATTAACCGCTGTTTTTTTTTGTTTGTTGGCTCGCCACAATAACACACAAGTACCCCCACCCCACTCACCTTCCATACACTCACACACACACTCACACACAGGATGCAGAGGAGGACTACGACGAGAGTGCGAGCACGTGGAATCTGCGCAAGTGCAGTGCAGCAGGGCTGGACATCCTCTCGCACGTCTTTGGGGACGCACTGCTGCCCATCCTCATGCCTCTCATCCAGGTGTGTTGCGCTTCGAAACCTTCGAGTCCCTCTGAGGCCTCTAAGCCCCACATGATCGCACCTGCTGCTTCTGCTACCACACTCGCTCCTTTCCTCCTTCCCTTCTCTCCCTCCCTCCCTCCCTCCCTCCCTGCCTCCCTCCCTCCCTCCTTCCACCCACTCTCTCCATCCCTCCCCACGGGCCCTCCTCTCCCACCAGACGAATCTTGCAGACCAAAGCGAGGGCAAGTGGAAGGAGAGAGAAGCTTTGGAGTTGGCCGTGGGGGCCGTGGCGGAGGGCTGCATTGATGGGCTGCTGCTGCCCACGCTGCCGCAGATGATCGCCCACCTGCTGCTGCTGCTACCACACCCACTCCTTCCCCTCTTCCCTCTTTTATTCCTTCCTTCCCTCCTTCCTGTCCCCCTCCCTGCTTCCCTTCCTTCCCCCTCCCCATTCTCTCCCACCAGACGAACCTTGCAGACCGCAGTGAGGGCAAGTGGAAGGAGAGGGAAGCTTCCGCCCTAGCCGTGGGAGCGGTAGCTGAAGGATGCATCGATGGGCTGCTGCCCGCGCTGCCGCAGATGATCACCCACCTGCTGCCTCTCCTGGAAGACTCCGTCCTTCCCTCACTCCTTCACTCCTTGACTCCTTCCCTCACTGCCTCCCTCGCTCCCCTTCCTGCTTCCCCTCCTCCCCCTCCCCTTCCCCCTCCCCTTCCCCCTCCCCTTCCCCCTCCCCTTCCCCCTTCCCTTCCCCCACCCCCCACGCTCCAGACGAATCTTGCAGACCGAAGCGAGGGCAAGTGGAAGGAGCGGGAGGCGTCAGTGCTGGCCGTGGGCGCTGTAGCAGAAGGCTGCATTGATGGGCTGCTGCCCGCGCTGCCCCAGATGATCGCGCACCTGCTGCCTCTCCTGGAAGACCCGCACCCGCTGGTTCGGAGCATCAGCTGCTGGACGCTGTCGCGCTACTCCAAGTGGATCGCCCGCGCCGTTGATAAGCCCGAGGGGCAGCAGCAGTTCGACGCCGTGTTGACGGGGTTCCTCGCGCGCATTCTGGATAACAACAAGCGGGTTCAGGAGGCTGCCTGCTCTGCCTTTGCTACACTGGAAGAGGTGAGAGGTTCAAGCGGTGGCTAGAGCACAGGCAGGCAGGCAGAGAGCCTGGAAGACCCGCACCCGCTGGTTCGGAGCATCAGCTGCTGGACGCTGTCGCGCTACTCCAAGTGGATCGCCCGCGCCGTGGATAAGCCCGAGGGGCAGCAGCAGTTCGACGCCGTGTTGACTGGGTTTTTGGCGCCGATTCTGGACAATAACAAGCGGGTGCAGGAGGCTGCTTGCTCTGCCTTTGCCACACTGGAAGAGGTGAGTGAGAGCACAGTCACGTCACAGCAGCACAGGCATGCCCTCACTCGCTACTCCAAGTGGATTGCCCGTGCCGTGGATAAGCCCGAGGGGCAGCAGCAGTTCGACGCCGTGTTGACTGGGTTTTTGGCGAGGATTCTGGACAACAACAAGCGGGTGCAGGAGGCTGCTTGCTCTGCCTCTGCCTTTGGCACACTGGACGAGGTGAGTGAGAGCACAGTCACGTCACAGCAGCACAGGCATGCCCTCACTCGCTACTCCAAGTGGATTGCCCATGCCGTCGATAAGCCTGAGGGGCAGCAGCAGTTTGACGCCGTGCTGACTGGGTTTTTGGCGAGGATTTTGGATAACAAGAGGGTTCAGGAGGCTGCTTGCTCTGCGTTCGCCACACTAGAAGAGGTGAGAGGGAGTGGAGAGGAGAGATGGTCGAGGGAGGCAAGGATTTATGGACGGCAACAAGCACGTTCGGAGGGATCCTTTCTCCGGTTTTCCTACTCTGTGGAAGTAATCCCCCACCCCCACTGTGGTTCCCCATCTCCGCCCTCTGTGGTAATAACCCCCCCCACCTCCACCTGAGCAGTAGGCAGTGGTCAAGTTGCCTGATTTGAGATGTCTCTAAACCGCCCCCTGCCACAGCTCCCCTCACTCACCCCTCTCCCCCGCCCCCTTCCCCTCCTCTCCCCCCGTTCTCCCCCCTCTCCCGTTTCCCCTCTCACCTGAGCAGGAGGCAGTGGACGAGTTGCCGGAACGCCTGGAGCCCATTCTGCAGCACTTTCTATAAAGAACCATCTGCTCCTTCTTCCCTCCTCTTCCCACCTCCCTCCCCCCTAACCCCCCTCCCCTCACTTCTCCCCCCCCCGCCACCTGAGCAGGAGGCAGTGGACGAGTTGCCGGAACGCCTGGAGCCCATTCTGCAGCACCTCGCCTTCGCGTTCAGCAAGTACCAGGTGATTGCAACAGAGTCTCAGGGGTAACATCAGGTGGGTGGCATCAGGATTTTTCAACGGATCAGGTCTTTGCTTCTCGAGACCGTATGACTGTGCACGTCGGAACTGAATATATGGAAGGTTCTTGTAATAGACCGTATTGTATGGAACCATGTTCTATGGGGGAATGTGTTGTATGGGACCCTCTCTTACCCCACTCTTACTCCTCTCTTACCCCTCTCTTGCCCCTCCTTTCCCCTCTCTTACCCCTCTCTTGCCCCTCCTTTCCCCTCTCTTACCCCTCGCCTTGTTCACAGCGGCGCAACCTGCGCATTCTGTATGACGCAGTGGGCACTTTGGCTGACTGTGTGGGGGGTACGCTGCAAGATGTGAGTGACTGTATGGGAAGGGTGGGGCCGCATGGGGGGAGGGGCGGGTGGGGCCGCATGGGGGGAGGGGCGGGTGGGGCCGCATGGGGGGAGGGGCGGGTGGGGCCGCATGGGGGGGAGGGGCGGGTGGGGCCGCATGGGGGGAGGGGCGGGTGGGGCCGCATGGGGGGGAGGGGCGGGTGGGGCCGCATGGGGGGGAGGGGCGGGTGGGGCCGCATGGGGGGAGGGGAGGAGCGTTGCAAGACGTGAGTGGCTATATGGGGAGGATGGGGCCACATGAGGGGGTTGTGGGGCAAGATTGTGTGATTTTATTTGTGGGGTTAGAGGCGTCTAGCTTCCCGCTGCTTGAGTGCTACACCTCTGTCTATACCTCTACACCCTTCCACCCTTCACCCTCCCCACCCTGCTGACTCTCCACTCCAATCCCCACTCCCACGTCCTGCCCACCCTGGCCCCCTTCCCCCACCAGCCGCGTTACATCGCCGTTTTAATGCCGCCTCTCACAGCCAAGTGGCAGCAGATCTCCGACTTTGATCGCGACATCTTTCTCTCTGCTCGAGTGCTGCACTTGTACCCATACCTCTATACCCCCTTCCCCTCCGCTTCTCTGCCCCACCTTTCCTGTCTCCCTTCCCACCAGCCACGTTACATTGCAGTGCTCATGCCGCCTCTCACAGCCAAGTGGCAGCAGATATCCGACTTTGATCGCGACATCTTCCCGCTGCTCGAGTGCTTCACCTCCGTCGCTCAGGCTCTGGGCCCCGCCTTTGCTCCGTATGCTGAGACCGTGCTGGCTCGCTGCTGCCACATTATTAGAGTTCAGCTTGTTGCTCAGGTGTGTAATGCTCTAAAGAGGGATCAGATGCGGTGTCAGGGGTTTTGTTGGGTGGGGGAAGTGCGAGGTTCATGTGTGTGTGGCTCAGGCTGTGGGCTCCGCCTTTGCTCCGTACGCCGAGACGGTGCTGGTGCGCTGCTGCCACATCATCAGAGTGCAACTCGTGGCACAGGTGTGTTATTGCTCTGTAGAGGGGTAGTGAGAGGCCTGTGCATGTGTGTGTCGCTCAGGCCCTGGATCCCGCCTTTGCTCCCTATGCCGAGACAGTGCTGGCGCGCTGCTGCCATATCATCAGAGTTCAGCTGGTAGCACAGGTGAGGGGTGTGGTGCAGTGTATAAGGGTTTGGTGCGGTTAAGTGGGGCACCAGGGAGTCGTTTGTGTGGGCCTTTGCTCCCTATGCCGAGACGGTGCTGGCTCGCTGCTGCCATATCATTAGAGTGCAGCTCGTGGCACAGGTATGTAGTGCGGTGGAGAAGGGTGCAATGCGGTGAAGAGGGGAACTGTGGGTTGGAGCGGTAGGTATGTGTGTGTCGCTCAGGCCCTGGGCCCCGCCTTTGACCCATACGCTGAGAATGTGCTGGCCCGCTGCTGCCATATCATCAGAGTGCAACTCGTGGCACAGGTGTGTAATGCTCTGTAGGGGGATGAAATGCTGTGGCAGGGGGTTATATGCGGTTGGGAGAGGTAGAGGCCTGTGGGTGTGTGGCTCAGGCGCTGGGCCCCGCCTTTGCTCCCTATGCCGAGACGGTGCTGGCCCGCTGCTGCTATATCATCAGAGTGCAGCTCGTGGCACAGGTATGCAGTGCGGTGGAGAAGGGTGCAGTACGGTGATGAGGGTAAATGTGGGTTGGGGAGGGGTGTGTGTGTGGCTCAGGCTCAGGGCCCAGCCTTTGCTCCCTATGCTGAGACGGTGCTGGCCCGCTGCTGCCATATCATTAGAGTGCCGAATTTTAGCTCCTATTCCCCCTCCTTCCGCCCCGCCCTCTCCCCACTTTCGCCACATCGTCTCCCCATGGCAGAAGGACCCAGCAGCAGCGGGGGCGCCATACGACAAGGAGTTCATAGTGTGCGCTCTGGACCTCAGCTCACATCTCCCCCCCACCTCCTTTGTGTGTTCTGCATCTCTCTGCTTTCCGTCTCCCCCCTCCTCCTACCCCTCACCCCCATGGCAGAAGGACCCAGCAGCAGCGGGTGCACCGTACGACAAGGAGTTCATAGTGTGTGCCCTGGATCTCAGCTCAGGAGTCATCGAGGCCCTTGGACCGTCGGTTGAGCCCCTGGTGAGTGACTCGCATTCTTGAGGCGCCTCAGAAATAGATGCCTGCAATGCAAAATAAACTCCTCGAACGTAGGCGCCATACGACAAGGAGTTCATAGTGTGCGCTCTGGATCTCAGCTCAGGAGTCATCGAGGCCCTTGGACCGTCGGTTGAGCCCCTGGTGAGTGATTCGCAATCTTGATCGAAAGTGGACACCTCAAAAGTAGATTCCTCAGAACTAGACGCCGTACGACAAGGAGTTCATATCATAGTGTGTGCCCTGGATCTCAGCTCAGGAGTCATCGAGGCCCTCGGACCGTCGGTTGAGCCGCTGGTGAGTGATTCGCTACAAGTTTCGTTGGATGTACTGTAAGCTGTCGTTGGGTTTAGGCGGACTTACTGTTGCTTCATAAGGGAACGCTTGTAAGCAAGCAAGTCTTGTGCTTCGCCCGCGTGTCCTGAATCCTTGCTTCATCTCCCTCTGTTTCCTGCTTGATGGTCTCCTACTTTCCACCCCCAGGTCGCCAAGAGCGGCTTGACGGACCTGCTGCTGCAGTGCAGTGCTGTGGACAAGTCATTTCCATTGTCCCTCCATCCCTCATGGTGATCCCCCCACCCCCCACCACCGCCAGGTCGCCAAGAGTGGCTTGACGGACCTGCTGCTGCAGTGCAGTGCCGTGGACGCCAATGATGTCAAGCAGAGCTCTCTGGCTCTACTGGGTGATCTCACTAAGGTGCGTTTCACTCTGCCTGACTCTCACTAGATGTACCAGGCAATGCAGTGCTGCTGCAGTGCTGCGCTGTGGACGCCTACGATGTCAAGCAGAGCTCTCTGGCTCTACTGGGTGATCTCACTAAGGTGCGTTTCACTCTGCCTGACTCTCACTAGATGTACCAGGCAATGCAGTGCTGCTGCAGTGCTGCGCTGTGGACGCCTACGATGTCAAGCAGAGCTCTCTGGCTCTACTGGGTGACCTGACTAAGGTGTGCTTTGCTAGACTGTTGGTCAGTAAGACTACCAGATAGTGCAATGCAGTTCTTTGCTGTGGACGCCAGCAGCTTCAAGCAGAGCTCGCTGGCTCTGCTGGGTGACTTGACTAAGGTAAGCTTAGTCTGTGTGTTGCTGATAAGACCATAGGACAGGACGTACCGCACAATGCAGTGCTGTGCTGTGCTGTGCTGTGCTGTGGACGCCAACGACGTCAAGCAGAGCCCTCTCGCGCTGTTGGGTGATCTGATTAAGGTGTGTGTTGCTTTGATGTACAGTCTGTGATAAGACTGTAAGGCATGAACCACACACTGCAGTGCTGTGCGGTGGCTCCCTTGCAATCACATCTTCTCTCTCCCCCCGACTCCCCCCCTTTCTCTCGTTCCCGCCAGTCGTGTGTGCAGCAGGTGCGGCCGCACCTCAACGACTTCCTCTCCGTGTGCGTGGGCCAGCTGAACGGTTCACACCCTTACGCTCCCCCCTGAATTCCCTCCCTCTCTGCCTGACTCCCCCCCATCTCTCGCCAGTCGTGTATGCAGCAGGTGCGGCCGCACCTCAACGACTTCCTCTCCGTGTGCGTGGGCCAGCTGAACGGTTCACACCCTTACGCTCCCCCCTGAATTCCCTCCCTCTCTGCCTGACTCCCCCCCATCTCTCGCCAGTCGTGTGTGCAGCAGGTGCGGCCGCGCCTCAACAACTTCATCTCCGTGTGCGTGGGCCAGCTGAACGGTTCACACCCTTACGCTCCCCCCTGAATTCCCTCCCTCTCTGCCTGACTCCCCCCATCTCTCGCCAGTCGTGTGTGCAGCAGGTGCGGCCGCGCCTCAACGACTTCCTCTCCGTGTGCGTGGCCCAACTGAACGGCCCCGAGTCCTTTGTGCACGAGAGGATTTCAGTGGCCAACAACGCGTGCTGGGCCCTGGGGGAACTCGCAGTGAAGGTGTGTTAGAGGGGGGGGTAGAGGGGGTAGTAGGAGAGTGGGCCAGCTGAACGGCCCTGAGCCCTTCGTGCACGAGCAGATCTCAGTCGCCAACAACGCGTGCTGGGCCCTGGGGGAACTCGCAGTCAAGGTGTGTTAGAGGGGGTGGTAGAGGGGGTAGTAGGAGAGTGGGCCAGCTGAACGGCCCTGAGCCCTTCGTGCACGAGCAGATCTCAGTCGCCAACAACGCGTGCTGGGCCCTGGGGGAACTCGCAGTCAAGGTGTGTTAGAGGGGGGGGTAGAGGGGGTAGTAGGAGAGTGGGCCAGCTGAACGGCCCTGAGCCCTTCGTGCACGAGCAGATCTCAGTCGCCAACAACGCGTGCTGGGCTCTGGGCGAACTGGCAGTCAAGGTATGCTGCCGAGGCTGACAGGGAGAAGGGGGCGATGAGGGGGTTGGGTGTGTGTGAGCCAGCTGAACGGCCCCGAGTTGAGTCCTTAGTGCACGAGAGGATTTCAGTGGCCAACAACGCATGCTAGGCTCTGGGGGAGCTGGCAGTCAAGGCCAGTCATGCCATGCCCTGGTGGTTGTTGTCATTTTTGAGTCGACTCAAAAGAGGTGCCTTTGTGCACGAGCGCATCTCTGTGGCCACCAACACATGCTGGGCTCTGGGGGAGCTGGCTGTTGACCCTGTTGACCCTGTTGACCCCGTTTTTGTGACCTTGTTGACTCTCAACAGGTGCGAGAGGAAATAGCGCCAGCAGTGGTGCCGGTGCTGAACAACATTGTGCCGGTCCTCACATCGGCACAGAACCCCCGGGTGAGTGTATGGGTGATTACTAGCGTGACTCCATTGATTGTCATGACTGCATTGACTTGCTTGACTTGGTGCTCAACAACAGCATTGCGCCCGCCCTCACATCCGCACAGCTTCTTCCCCCATTATATATGCCCACTCTTCTACTCTTCTACCCCCTCCTTTCTCCCCTCCCCCTTCCCCCGTCCCCCCCCCAAGGGCACTAATCTAGCACTGGTGGAAAATTATGGTATCACACTCAGCCGCTTCGACCCGACCATATCCTTCCCTCTCTGTACCGCCTCCTCCTTCCCTCCCTCCCAGGGCACCTATCTAGCCACGTGAAAAAAGGAGTGTTTTTTCACTCTTTTTCACGCCAAAAGCCACGTCTCAAAACACTCCTTTTTTCACGTCGCCTCCTCCTTCCCTCCCTCCCAGGGCACCTATCTAGCCCTGGTGGAGAACTGTGCCATCATGCTCGGCCGCTGCGCCCCTCACCCTAAAATCCATGCCCACTCGTCTACCCCCTCCCTTCTTCTCCTCCCCTCCCCCCCCTAGGGCACCAATCTAGCCCTGGTGGAGAACTGTGCCATCGCGTTCGGCCGCTTCGAACCTACACTTTTACACCCCCTTCCTCCTTACGCCAACCCCCCCTCCCACCTCCCCCCCCCCCCTCACGGCACCAATCTAGCCCTGGTGGAGAACTGTGCCATCACGCTCGGCCGCTTTGCATGGGTGTGCCCTGACGTGCTATAACTGCCCACTCTCCCTCTCCCCCTCCACTCCCCAGGGCACCAATCTTGCCCTGGTGGAGAACTGTGCCATCACGCTCGGCCGCTTTGCATGGGTGTGCCCTGACGTGCTTGCGCCCCAGGCCTCTCTCTTCTTGGTTCCATTCCTCACCACGCTCAAGGGGTAAGTCTTCCAAGCGTGCTGCTCTATCGTCCTGCCCTGCTACCGTCTTGGCGCCCCAGGCCTCTTTTCCTCATGCCCTTCCTCACCACAAGTCGGTCATTGTTCACCTCCTGCTCTTTCATTTCTGGCAGTTTGTTTATTTGTTGTTACTCGTCTCCTCTTTTTCCCCTCATTACCCCCCCCCCCCCCCCCCCCCCCCGCCCCCTCCCTTTTTTACCTCATTACTCGCTCGCCCTCTTATCCTTTTCTTTCTCCGCCTGCTCTCCGCCCCCATTTCACTTCCTTCTCCAACCGCGTAACCCCTATCTCGCCCCGCTCCCACCCATCCCTTTCCGTATCTCCCCCCCAATCCCCTTCTCCTCAGAATTCGTGACGATGTGGAGAAGGAGGAAGCATTCAAAGGGCTGTGCGCTGTGGTAAGTTCTCCTGCTGCTGCTGCTGCCGCTGCTTCAACGGTTGTGCCGCTGCATTGCTGCGTGCTGTGCTGTGTCTATGCTGTGTGCACGCCTTTCAGCCGTTCCATAACTATGCATTCATGTCCCTTCTCCCATCATTGAGTCGACTCAAAAATAGATTCCTTCTCCCATCACTCTACACGACCCACTCTCATCCTCCTGATCCTGCGTCTCCCTCCTATTCCCCCACCTCTCCCCCCCTATGCCCATACACCAGCTTCTCCTGAAACCAAATAGCAGCATTCTCAGCCATCCACCCACTGCTGCTTCTCCCTTGCCTTGTCCACGCCTTCCCCATACCTCTCCCCATCCCTCCCCCCTCGCATCTCCCTTCCCCCAATCTCCCCCCCACATCCAAGCTGCGCCTCAACCCCATGGCACCATCTGCTGCCATCCAACCACTGCTGCTTCTTCCCCCCTTATTTTTTCCATCGTTCCCCCTACCGTCCCCACCCCCACCCCCATCCTCCCAGCTGCGCCTCAACCCCATGGCAGCCTCTACCGCCATCCATCCGCTGCTGCTCGCCATCGGCAGCTGGAGGGTAGGTCCATGATCAATGATGAGCTATCTGCACATCTGATGGAAATGAGGCCTGCAATTAGGCCAATTTGCCCTTGCTTCTCCGCCTCTCCCGCCATCACCACTCCTCCTACGCACACATGCACATTCACCCCGTCCCCGCGCGTTTACACACAGACGCACATGCACTCGCACGCACGCACACGCACACGCACACGCACACGCACACACAGCATGCAAAAATTGACACTCGCACATGAATGCACAGGCAAGTCAACCCATGTGCAATCCTCTTATGCCCTTCCAAAGGAGATCCTTATTGTCCCCCTTATTGTCATCCTCAGGAGATCCACAGTGCAGAACTGAAGGCTGAGATTCACCAGCTGCTGCAGGGCTTTAAGCAGGTGGGTAAAGGGAGCAAAAATAGTTCTTTTTTTAGCTGCTGCAAAAGTTCACCAGCTGCTGCTGGGCTTTAAGCACGTGGGTCCAGAGATCTGTGTTATGCCCACTTCTCTCGTCCCTCATGTTTATTATTCACCTGCCTACTACGTACAGATGCTGGTGCAGTCTGCTGGCATGTGGGATCAGATCCCGATGTTTGGGCCGACTTTGATAGTATTCCCTTTCACTCGTCCCCTGCATTGATCATGCACCTTCCTACCCACAGATGCTAGTGGAGGCAGGCACGTGGGATCAAATCCTGCAGTCCACCGACAAACCACTGCTGCAGAAGCTCAGTGCGACGTACGGGATCTAGCTGTGCTGACGTGGCGGCTGACATGGCAGCTGATGTGGCGGCTGACGTGGCAGCTGGCGTGTGGTGTGGCACGTTCTGTTGTCAGAATGGATCAGATTAAAGGAAACCAGTAGCAGTGAGCAGCTGCGAAGCTGCTAGGGAGCTGCATCCCTGAAGCTTCCAAGTAGCAACATAAATCAGCAGGCCTTATTACGCAGCAAAAGCGGCCTCTTATGCAAGGTCACGAAGCGCCCGAGCAGATATAGGGCATTAGATGAGTAGCAGGTAGAGGAGGTGAGCAGCCTGCCACCTTCCGCTAAGCGGGGAGGTGTGCAGCAGAAGCATGAGCAGCTGCAGAAGCAGCAGCAACAGCGGCAGCAACAGCAGCAGCAGCGCTTAACAAGATCTGATCCTGATTAGATTTGATGCGGCTACCCCCCGACTCATTTCGTCGCCAACCTTCCCCTCACCCGCCTCACTACACCACCATCTCACATTGTCCCTCCTCCAATCATTTCCTCCAACCATCACCCGCACCACCCATTTATACCCATCCATACCCATCCCCATTGACCACCCATACGGGGGTGTGCCGACATCATGCTGACATCATAAATGAGCACTCTCTGACCAATCAGAGAGCAGCAGGAGGAAGCATGGTGGGCAGCGCATTGCTGCTGCCATAGGTTCCGCCGACCAATCATACCGCGCTTGCATCATCTGCCACATAGGATGCCACGTAAGATGCTGCGCGTGCCACGTCATCCCCATGGTGTACGATACTTTCTTCGGTTTATCTTCAACAGAATTGGTGTTGTGGGTATGTATGCATGCACCCATCTTAGGTAGAAGATTGTCTTATGTATGGTGTGGTTGGTGGTGCCTAATGGCTGGAAAGAATAGTCTATAATAGACAGGTTTGCTAGCTTGGCTAGATCAGTGTGTTTCTTGCATCAAGTTGCAAAATACTGCGTTTGATAGGCTATGCTGATGATTTTCAGTTTGCAAGTAGCAGCTTGGGCATTTAATATTGTCATGTTGCATTTTCTTATTTGAGATAGTTGTGTCCTTGAGAGTTGTTGAGTTCGTTCTTTGTTCAGGTACAGCAACACACATTTTTTTGCTGTAAGAAATGAAGCACCTTGTATCGAAGCACGCGCGCCTGTTCGGCAAACATTCTCTAGCGGGGAAAGGATTCACGTTAAAGTCAGAGGTCGCTAATAGTGTTCTACATAAGAAACGCACCACCCAACATCACTACACATCTCTCCAGTTATTGCACGACAAACCGCTGAGGTATTTAAGATTCATGCTGTCCCTATTTATGGTGTCTCTCTGTACGGCTTTATTTTTTTAGACTCGAAATTTGATAAAATACGTTAGCATCACATGCTACTCAACACCGAAGCTCCTGTGTCTACAAGACGATCAAAGCGGGAGACGGAGGCCGGCCGAGCAGTAAACAAGTCTCAAAGCTGAGAACCTTTGCAGCAAACAAACGTAGCCATGGGTTGATGAGTCTGTGCATGTGCTGCTAATCCTTTGACTTGGCAGGAAGCGAGGCTGTTTTGCCTATGGGTACGGCATCGTCATCCTTGCTTGCGGGCTTCTTTCCCCCCTTGTACTTCTGCATGTGACAGACAGGACGGAAGGAGGGCAAAAGGAATAGCACAGGGTGAGGGGTTGCAGACATGTGAGGTGGGAAGGCTATGCCCCCCCTCTACCTCGTTTCTCTCGCCCGCCCCTTCGTAATTCTGCAGGTGACGGGCCGAATAAGAGAAAGAAATTATGGACGTTCCACAGTCTCACATTTTGAGATGTTTCAGAACTCAACCATGGACACATCCCCTGCTTGCAAAGGGAAAAGAACATAATCGTGATCAATGGTATGTTTTTGGAAAGCGGAAGGAAGAACTGGAGAGTGAGCACCTGCGGTGCAAACACACCAAGCAAGGGGATGGATTCTATATTGGAGGGAGCGTATCAAAAGTCAAGCTCACTTACGAATAAGCCCAGAGATTCATTTGAAGTGCACAAACCTGCTTGCCGAATAAGAAAATGATTGTACTTCGTTTACTTGTTTATGTTTTAACTACAATCGAAGACCCAAAGGTGAAATATACGCACCTGCTTCCCGAAAGCGAAGGGGACATATTTGTATTTGATCATGTGGCGGATCTGGCGCTTCATTAATATTTGCACTTGTATCTTTATTTGTGAACCTAAAAAACCCGAACATAACGAGAGAGCACGCACCTGCTTGCCGAAGGAGAAGGGGACGTATTTGTATTTGATCATGTGGCGGATCTGGCGCTTCATGGTGAGCACGAAGAGCGTGAACCAGTACATGAGCAGGATGGGCCAGAAGACCGGCACGTCAAAGATGGGGAAGAAGGTCATGGTGAAGGCCACGAGAAACGCCTTGGTCATCGCGTACCTGGAGGAATGGGGGAGGAGGGTAAGGAGGCAGGGGGAAGAAGGGGAGGTGTGGGTGGGGAGGCGGAGGATGATGAGGATGGTTGCACAGAATAAGAACGCGAGGGAACATGGGCACGTCAAAGATGGTGAAGAAAGTCATCGTGAACGCCACGAGAAACGCCTTGGTCATCACGTAGCTGAAGGGGGGAAGGGGAAGGGGAAGGAGAAGTGGGTGGGAGGTATGTGGATGGAAGGGGAGGAGGAAGGAGAGGGGATGGGACAGAACACGGGCACGTCAAATATGGGGAAGAAGGTCATCGTGAACGCGACCAGGAACGCCTCGGTCATTGCATACCTGAATGGGGAGGGGGGGGGAGGAGAAGTGGGTGGGAGGTATGTGGATGGAAGGGGAGGAAGATGGAGAGGGGGTGGATCACCGGCACGTCAAAGATGGGGAAGAAGGTCATCGTGAAGGCGACGACGAACGCCTTGGTCATGGCATACCTGGAGAGGGGGAAGGAGGGGTAAGGAGGGAAAGGAGGCAGGGGGAAGAAGGGGAGGTGGGGGGGCGGGGAGGGATGATGGGGATGGGGGCACAGAATAAGAACGCGAGGAGGGAACACGGCCACATCAAAGATGGAGAAGAAGGTCATCGTGAACGCGACCAGGAACGACAAGGTCATGACGTACCTGGATGGGGGGTTGGGAGGGGGGGATGGGAGAATAGAGAATATGGATGAGGAGAGGATGGAACACGGGCACGTCAAAGATGGGAAAGAATGTCGTTGTGAACGTGACGAGGAACGCCAAGATCATTGCGTACCTGTGGGGGGTGTGGATGGGAGAGGAGGAGAATGGGAATGAGGAGAGGAGGGAACACTGGTAAATGTGAATGCCATGGTGAATGCCATGGTGAATGCCATGGTGAATGCCATGGACATTGCGTATCTGAACAAAGGTGGGGAGGGGAGGAGAAGAAGGTGGGGGAAAAGGGGGAGGGGTGGTGAGGGTGTGGAGAGGAGGAGAAGGGAAAATTTGTCACGGCAAAAATGGGGAAACAGGTCACCGTGGAAGGGAATTATGAATGACTTGGTCACCACGCCTGAAAAGTGGAGGGAGAGGGGTGGGGGGAGGAGGATGGAGGGTTGGGGGGTGAGTGGGGGGGGGAGGGGGAGAGGGTGGAGAAGTGGGGAGGAGGAGTGTGGATGGGAGAGGAGGAGAATAAGGATGAGGGGAAGAGGGATAATTGTCTAACGGGAAAGAAGGTCATTGTGAACGATGAATACCTCGGTCGTGACGTGCACGCGACAGGGAAGAAAGAGGTGGGGGGTCGTGGGGGGGTGAAAAAGGGGGGTGACGGAGGCAGCAGTGTGAAACGCACAATTGGAAGCAGCGAGAGAAGGGAAGGGAAGGGGGGTCGGGGAAGGAAGTAGGGGGTGCGAGGTACAATGGGGGAGGATAATAAAGCAAAGGAAGCGACGGAGGAGCATAAAAGGCCAGGCATACTCATCACGAAGAAACCTAGAAACAGCAGCAACAACAGCAGGAGCAGGAGCAGGAGCAGAAGCAGCAGGCAACCCTAAACTAGACCCCAACCTTATTCTCTCAACTCACCAGAACTTGAACTCTGGTAGCCGTCGGATGAAGGGCTTGAACTCATCGTTGCCCTTGGATGGCAGCACTGGCCCTTCCGCCTCGGGATCCACTTGAGGGGACAGGAATCCAATGAGCAGATTCAACATGTAGATGCCCAGTCCGTACGTGATTATGTAATATCCGTGTAGGAAGAACACGCGTATGGTGTAGATGAGTGCAATGACGAGTGTAGCGATCCATCTGTAACCATAGTGCGGGGTCGACTTATCGAGAAAGTACTGTATTGGGAAGGGGAAATGCGTGAGGATAGGAACACGAATTATGAACGCAGTGAGTCATGTGTACCCGTTACAAGCGTAGATTCACCTTATGTTTCAGCCATGGAGATTCGACTTAGGTCTAGTTTCAAAAAGTGTAGACGAACAATGCGTGAAAACGCAAACGGCGGTGACCCATCAACATCGCCCGTCCATTTAAGCGACGGAATGCCGCTGGTGAGCACGAGCTTGACACCGAAAAGTCATCGCAACGACGCGCAAAAATCCGTTCAGTTAAGCGTGTGAAACCGTTATGTTTTTGAGGAGCATGCGCGTCTGAATGGCGAGCACGCACCTGAAACCGTCAGGTTATAGCGAGCACGTACCTGAAACCGTTAAGTTATAGCGAGCACGTACCTGAAACCGTTAAGTTATAGCGAGCACGCACCTGGAACCGTTAAGTTATAGCGAGCACGTACCTGAAACCTTTGAGCCAAAACGGCTCCGTTTCCTCCTGCCAACATCGAGGATCCCGCTGAATCTGACCGTCAAAATGCGGATCCAACGGTCACGAACTTCTAAATCCGCTTGCACAGCAGCAGCAGCAAAATACTACTAAAGAACAGAGACGCCTCCTTCCCTCGTAGCAGCACGACCTAACGGGGTTGGCGGAAGTGCCGATACAAGCAAAGGAACGATCACGTCGGACCTGATCTGATACTAGCGAGTTGCTAACGATCACGCGGATCAGCGATGGAACCAATGCGGGATCAGCAAACCAGAATCAGCAACGCGAAAGTAAGGCTAAGAGACTGTACGAGGATCTGTTTCCGAACTATCTCCCGCTTGACCTGCTGCTGCTTATGAATCGGGCCGGACAGACTGCTAGCTGAAGGAGTCTAGAGAATGCCTCGCAGAAACTCTCAGCAGCAACACTGTCTAGCAGAGCAAGAAACTACTCTCGAGGTGACAGGGAGGAAGAATGGGTTGAATCGGTTCGGGTGGCTGGAATTCATCTGACGTGACAGGGGGGGGCAATCCCTGAGCAGTCTCGAGAATTGTGTTTGGCGGGAAAGTGAGAACAGGCCGACCTAGAACGAATCTCTTAACGTTCACAGGTCGATAACGCAGGAGTTTCTGCTCAAACATCGGTTCTGTGGTGCAGTGGTTAGCACTCTGGACTTTGAATCCAGCAACCTGGGTTCGAATCCCGGCAGAACCTTTTTCTGCACCCACATTTTGTTTCCACCACTGCAAAAAATTGAGCCTACATTTGACTTCTGGAAATTGCACACAGGCGCGAACAATCTTCAGCTTGCTATTTTTATTTTGCTACAGAGCCTATGTATGGTAATTTCAAAGAGCCCATCATCAGTGGCAAGAAAATGCCCACAACTTATTTCTTGAACTTTCTCAAGCAGGAGCACAAGCACTAAGGTCCTACATCACAACCTACACTGTAGTTGCATCCGCACATGGAGAATGTTTCTATGATTTTCCTGTTACTATTGTTTGGGGAAGGAAGGACTTTTATAACTGAAGAAACGGCTCAAGGTTAATTTCCACAGCAGAGCAAGGATCAGGGATGTCAAAACGAGCAAGAACCTGAAAAAAAACAAACAGAAATGACACAAAGGGATGGGAGGGAGAATATAACTGACACTTGAAAAGTGGAAGGGATAGGAATAGCGACATAAGAAAGAGGAGAATGGGACAGCAGACCGAGGAAGGGGAAGGGAGTGGGATAGCGAGCTGAGAATGGGGAGGAAACAGGAATAGTGAGCAGAGGTGAAAATGTGTTGCATTGCAGGAATGGCACAAAATATTAACAAAAGAGATGCAGTGAAACAACATGAGTACACACCTCTGGGTGAACGACACCAAAGGTGCCAATGGATCTTCCTTTAAAGAGGATATCGGCCTGGCGGCCCCCAAAGAACTGGGGAGACTGGAGGACGAACAGCAGAGTGGGCGGAAAACAGGAGGGAATGGGGCACAGTGAAAGCAGATTATGGATTGTTCCTATAGGCCAGATATTGGGGACTGCATGACAAACAGCAGAGGTTAGGGAAACGGGATGAATAGGGGCCACAATGAGAACACATGGAGGATCTCTCCTGATCATGGATTCCACTATGGAGGCCAGGTGAGTGCCTCATAGCACTCAAGAATCTGTGCAGACTGGAGGGCGAACAGCAAAGACGAAGGGAATGAGCGAGTGGGAACACAAGGAGGGGGACGTGCTTGTCTAGGGCAAAAAACCTTCCAGCAACAAAGAATTTACTAAAGACGTGTCAGAGCAAACTTACTTGCGAGGGAGCAATGAAATACTTGAGCGCAGCAGCAGCAGCAGCCTTTGCATCCCCCCCATCAGCCTGAGCAGTCGGGCCATCGGCAAGAGCCATTGTTCCGTCCGCCCCTGCCTGCCCCCCAAACGCCACTCCCAGCGATTCCATCAGCTGGTCCACCAGACCATGAATCACCTGTGATGACAACACGGGAAAAGAGAGAGCGAGGAAGTAAGAGCCATTGTTCCGTCCTCCCCTGCCTGCCCTCCAAACGCCACTCCCAGTGCCTCCATCAGCTGGTCCACCAGCCCATGAAGCGAGCGGAGGAAGAGTGGGGGGGAGAGGGGGAGAGGAAAGGCGAGAAAACGAGCCAGTGAACTGCCCGCCCCTGCCTGTCCCGCAAACGCCACTCCCAGCGATTCCATGAGGGAGGGGTTTTTGAGACGTCTCAAAGAGGGCAATCAGCCTCCTTTCATTCCTCGCCCCCATGTCCTCGCTATTGTACAGCAGACACACGTCTGATACCTCAAAGAGCATCAACTATACCACTTGCAAGCGTGCCATGCACTGTTGACAACACTCACCTCGAAGCCAGAGTGCAGGTTGCAGTAGAGCGCAATGAGTCGCCGCTCATTGCGTGCCCCAACATCCTTGCTCTCGTCCAAGAGGCACACGTCCGACACCTCAAAGAGCTTCACAGGGCGGGGCGAGTCCTTGTTGCTGGCCAGGGTCTTGAGCATTCCGGGGAGGAGAGACGAGCGCACCACCTGGAAAGGGCGTTGACAGGGAGTGATTGAAGGGAGAACTAGACGGGACCGTGAATGACCTCGAAGCCAGAGTGCAGGTTGCAGTAGAGCGCTATGAGCCTCCTCTCGTTCCTCGCCCCCACGTCCTTGCCATCGTCCAGAAGGCACACGTCCGACACCTCAAAGAGCTTCACAGGGCGGGGCGAGTCCTTGTTGCCGGCCAGGGTCTTGAGCATTCCGGGGAGGAGAGACGAGCGCACCACCTGGAAAGGGCGTTGACAGGGAGTGATTGAAGGGAGAACTAGACGGGACCGTGAATGACCTCGAAGCCAGAGTGCAGGTTGCAGTAGAGCGCTATGAGCCTCCTCTCGTTCCTCGCCCCCACGTCCTTGCCATCGTCCAGAAGGCACACGTCCGACACCTCAAAGAGCTTCACCGGGCGCGGCGAGTCTTTGTTGCTGGCGAGGGTTTTGAGCATTCCTGGGAGGAGAGACGAGCGCACCACCTGAGAAAAGGGGTGAGTGTGGGCAGGGGTGGAATGGGGGGATGACGGACAAAGATGAGACACCTCAAAGAGCTTGACAGGGCGAAGAAGTCCTTGTTGCTGGCGAGGGTCTTGAGCATTCCGGGGAGGAGGGAGGAGCGCACCACTTGTGATGGGAAGGAGTGAGTGGGGGAAACAGATGAAAGTGGGGATGAAGAACAGATGTGGGACACCTCAAAGAGTTCACGGGGCGGGGCGAGTCCTTGTTGCTGGCGAGGGTCTTGAGCATTCCGGGGAGGAGGGAGGAGCGCACCACTTGTGATGGGAAGGAGTGAGTGGGGGAAACAGATGAAAGTGGGGATGAAGAACAGATGTGGGACACCTCAAAGAGCTTCACGGGGCGGGGCGAGTCCTTGTTGCTGGCGAGGGTCTTGAGCATTCCGGGGAGGAGAGAGGAACGCACCACCTGTAGAAAGAAAGAGGATAGAATATAAACAGGACTAACTTACGACGGTCATCCAGAAACACTCGCATGCATGCACCCACCTCGAAATCAGCCGACCGTGGGTTTCCGATAACAACTGCCGTCTTGCCATCGTCTTTCAGGTTCACCATCTCAAAGTTCTCACTGCGAGCGGTGAGTGCCCACGTGAGTACCTCTGCCTTGCTCCCCCACACACTCAAGCAACCACACACACTCACCTCAAAGTCTTCAGAGCGCAGGTTGCCAATGACAACGGCCGTCGTGCCATCCTCCTTCAGGTTCACCATCTCAAAGTTCTCACTGCAGGCAATGAGCACCCACGTGCCACGCACACGCCTTCCCCACACCCAAAAGCACCCACCTCAAAGTCTGCAGACCGTGGATTCCCGATAACCACAGCCGTCTTGCCATCGTCCTTGAGGTTCACCATCTCAAAGTTCTCACTGCGAGCCATGAGCGCCCACGTGAGCACCTCTGCCTTTCTCTCCCACACACTCATGAACACACACAGACCCACACACCCACCTCAAAATCAGCAGAGCGCGGGTTGCCGATAACCACAGCCGTGTTGCCATCATCCTTCAGGTTCACCATCTCAAAGTTTTCACTGCGGGCGATGAGCGCCCACGTGACACACACGCGCCTTCCCAAAGCGAGCACACACACACACACCCGAAAGCACCCACCTCGAAATCAGCAGAGCGCGGGTTGCCAATAACCACGGCCGTCTTGCCATCGTCCTTGAGGTTCACCATCTCAAAGTTCTCACTGCGCGCGATGAGCGCCCACGTGAGCACCTCTGTGAAGCCCGCCTGCGCCACCTCGCCCCTCAGCAGGTCGCACAGCTGGTTGAGAGGCTGCTGCTTTCCTTCGCATACTGTCTTGGGCTCGGTGCGAGCAATGTTGTTGTAACCGTGTGCGATTGCCACGTCCTGATGAGAGGAGGGGAGCGAAGGAGCGAAAGGGAATGATGGGTAGAAAGGGAAGAGTTACCGTTCACATACAGACTCTTCCCCACCCTATTTCACCTTCAAATGCATGAGCACGTGCCCTCAATAGTATCACTCCTGTCAATACAATCACCTCCAAATTGTCACAGGAGGGATCACACTTGATAAAAGCAGTAATAGCTGAAATTGCATAATAATCATCTCCATAATGTCACACGTCACTGCGAGTGGGAGGCACTGTCACACTCACCGCATCCGCCCCGTCCCGTCCTCACGCTTAACGCCGCACGGACATCATACTTCAGTCTTTCATTTGTATACATGTCATGTATCAATCTAATAACCTCCCACCTCCATGATGTCACAGGGGTGCAGCACATCGCTGCAAGTGGGTGGCACTGTCACGCTCACCACCTCGGCCCCGCCCCATTAATGTCACAAGCCCGACATATTTCAGTCTGACATTAGTATCAGGGTACATTCCTATCCCGTGTCAGACATCAAGTCATGCGGCCTTAGTCTCCAATTTGTCTCTTCCGAACTTCCAATCGCCCCAAAAACGAGCCACTTCGGGTCTTCCGAACCTCCACTTCGTGTCAAACCTAATGTCTGACACGGGATAGGAATGTACCCTCACACAAATCACACGCATATACTCACCTCCATGATGTCACATGGGTGCAGCACGTCACTGCGAGTGGGGGGCACTGTCACGCTCACCACCTCCGCCCCGTCCTCCCCTCTCCGCCCCTCCACCACCTTCGATGGCAGCTGCATGCGCGTCAGGAGCCGGGCGATCTGAAAGGATGAAAGGGGCGAAACGAGGGCAACAAATGGCAAGGCAGTAAGGAGAGTGCATGTTGGGAGGTTGAGTGTGGCTGTCTGTCCTCCCCTCTCCGCCAATCCACCACCTTCGATGGCAGCTGCATGCGCGTCAGCAGCCGGGCGATCTGCAAGGGATAAAACGGATAGAATGGGCAAGGGAGAAAGGAGTCCATATCGGGAGTATGAGTGTGTTATGTGTGTCCCCTTACATGTGTGAACCCACACACCCACGTTCAACCACTCGCAGTCTCCCTCACTCTCTCACCTCCTCCGCCTTGAGGTCGACGCCAATAGCCTTGTTGATGTACCCCACCGATGTCTCCACATCCCTCTCCTCCATCTGAGGGTACACTGCCACCTGCCCCCCATGTGTGTGTGCGAACCCAACCACCCACAATCAACCACATTCAACCACATTCAACCTGGAGCCTCACCTCTTCAGCTTTGAGATCAACGCCAATAGCCTTGTTGATGTACCCCACTGACGTCTCCACATCCCTCTCCTCCATCTGAGGGTACACTGCCACCTGCCCCCCATGTGTGTGTGCGAACCCAACCACCCACAATCAACCACATTCAACCACATTCAACCTGGAGCCTCACCTCTTCAGCTTTGAGATCAACGCCAATAGCCTTGTTGATGTACCCCACCGACGTCTCCACGCTCCTCTCCTCCATCTGAGGGTATACTGCCACCTGCCCCTCCGTAGATACCACCTCCACCGGTTCCACCTCGAACCTGAAATGAAGTAAACATTGTGGTAGAAATATAGTGAAGAAAAAACCAAATTCATTAGGAGGGGCTAATAATAAATGGTAACGACGGTGTCGAGCACGACGTTGGCCTTGGTGTTGGTGAGGTCAGTCAGTGGCCCTTCTTATGCATGATACCCTACAGCATTCCCCGTCAGTTTCCCTACAGATTTCCCTGCAGCTTTCCCTACAGAAACCACATTTCGCACTCACTTGTTGTCGCAGAACTCTGAGAACATGGTAACAACGGTGTTGAGCAAGATCTTGGCCTTGGTGAGGAGGTCAGTCAGTGGCCCTTCTCATGCACTGCACTGCACAATTCAGCTTCCACTAGAACCTCCCCTAGTGCTCCACTCACTTGTTATCGCAGAACTCTGAGAACATGGTAACGACGGTGTTGAGCACGATCTTGGCCTTGGTGAGGAGGTCAGTCAGTGGCCCTTCAAACGCACAGTACAATACCAGGCGTATCAGCTGCTCCACTCACTTGTTGTCGCAGAACTCGGAGAACATGGTAACAACGGTGTTGAGCACGATCTTGGCCTTGGTGAGGTCAGTGGCGGTGCATTCGATGAACACGTTGCGCGTGGTCAGCTTGATGGCTGAATGTGAGCCGTTGATCACTGGAGGGAGCGACAGGACGGTTCTGAAGCGAGGGAAGGGGAAAGACAGGAATGGAAGAGGAGAGGGGCGGTGCATTCGATGAACACGTTGCGCGTGGTCAGCTTGATGGCTGAATGTGAGCCATTGATCACCGGAGGGAGGGACAGCACAGTTCTGAAAGGACGGGGACAGAGAAGAATGGAAGGGAAAGGGAGTGGGAGGGAGTGGCGG